ATAGATAGAATCGTCTAGTACTATATAAAAATAGATAACTGGATCATTCAAAAACTGTACATTTGGTCATTTAGTACCTTCTGTTCTTGCCCTAGCATCCAGTAGAAGGTCTATATGCATTAAGACATGGTTTTAGTTCAGTTCAAAACTAAAACCATGTCTTAATGCATATAGACCTTCTACTGGATTATATCATAATTGATATAAGTTTATAAGTTTTTAAAGTGATAACCAATTAGGTGCCAGTTGAATATCCAAATGCCGAAATGACTTTACATAGGTGCCGATTTGACCAGGTGCGATAAAACTCTAATTTTATAAATTGTTTGACTAGGCATATTTAGTTGACTTATATATGGTCCAAATTGACTTTATAGACGGTCCTAGTTGACCTATTGATGGTCCGAGTTGTCTTCATAGACAGTCCGTCCGAGTTGTCTTTGTAGTAGATGGTCCGTGTTGTCTCCGGGCCGAGTGGTCTCGCACCCACCAATTTATACTACTTAGCATTAAAATGCATCACACCAGATGATATATACTAATTAAACAAAAGCAACATTCTAATACATTCCATTTAGTCATTGCTCTGCTGAAGAATTTAAAAGCAATAAAATTTTTATTTATATAGGAATTTTAGTCTGTGTTGAAGGCCATACCGTGAACTGTACTGGTTGCAAACCTCAACAAATTTGGTCTCCGGTGGAAGTTTGTCTCATTGACAATCATACAAATTCTTATTTTTAGAAGATTTTGTAAATTGTAAAGTTGATGTGTTATATTCAATTACCACAGACACTTTCTTGTCATGTTTTTAATTATAACTTTGTAATGATACTTGCAAATATAAAAGATTCAAGGAAAAAAACCCTTTTATTCTAAAAGTAAAAATATAAGTTTCATTGCGGTGCCATTATAATGCATGTACCATCATCTTCGGGATTCTCTTTTATTCTTATGCATGTTATGTTGCCATCATTTGAATCTTTCGATTCGCTGGCGTTGGTGCTTTGTGGTCTTGCACAGAGCACTTCAAACAAATCGGGAAAAGAATTGTCCAAATCACAGTCCACTGCTGTGTTTGGCAGAAAGGTCTTTGCCTGCTTTACCACTATAACTACAAGTATTCCACTCATGTCTTACGTTTAGAAATATATCACTATATTTGGCTATAATAACGTTGTGAATGTTGGATCTAGATCGTTTTTTTTTTTTATGTAAACGTGCCTGTAAGGCGTTACTTTCAAACGCACAACCGATTAAAATTTTGGTTACATACATTTAGAGACGGACGCGCGCGGCTCCGTACTGGACGCGGGTTTTCAAAAAAAGTACTTTTTTCTCGTCGACCTTTCACAACACGCGGGGGATCCGACGAAAGAGGTATTAATTTGGTTTGGCCTTAAGAAAATTTTTCAGATGGTGTACCATAGCTTGCGTTTTCTTGGATTGATTTACTGACAACTGTATATAATCGATGGAATTTGTGAACATAAAACACCATTCAATTCAAAAATAAGTCCCATAAATCTTTACCGAGTTGTTTGACTTTAACCTTCAGATAAAATACCAGACATTTTTAAATGTCATGCAGTATACGTAGCTAAAGTATGATTAGACAGAATTACTACAAACTTTGAACTGTTGTGTGTTATGCAAATGTACTCTTTTGGTTATGAAAATTTTCATTTTAAAGATATGGAACTTTCCTAATTAAAATACTTTTAAGTATAAGCGTATCCTCATGCATAATTTACTACAGACCCAGTTTCAAACGCGGAATGTTAGACATTATGTTAAAGAGCATGCCGGTACTTTATGGGACAATATTTAAATTTGTTGTTGATGAATATTTCTTTTATAAATAAAAAAGACAACGCAAGTTATTCACAATGTCTGCTTGGATGATAAACGGCAAAGAAGGAAAGGGATTTGATTATGAGATATTTATAAGTTAGCAAAACATGTGGTTTATCTTTATTCTTTCATTGTGCAAATATGAACTAAGTTGTGTTTCTCTTTGAATACTTTTGCTCGAAATAATGGAAGTGTAGATGATTTTATGAATCAATAATATAAAACATTACAGTTTTTTATTTACACATAATATTCAAATAAATTTTAAAAAGTGACAGTAACCCTGGATTTAAATAGAACATTTTGCAAGTACATTTTTGTTAAGGAATTACGTAAATGTGCTAATAATTAACCCTAAACTAAGATCAGCTATGAAGGTTTTTTTGCGCAATGATATTATATCAAACAAAAAAGGAGATGTGGTAAGAATGCTTATGAGACAACTATCCACCAGAGACCAAATGAAGAGGATATAGGAAACTATAGGTGACCGTGCAGCTTTTTACAACTAGCAAAACTCATACCGTATATATATATAGTCAGTTATACAAAGCTTTAACGTTATAATGAAAATAACACATGCTCATCCGAATCTATCAACCTTCAAATGGAACGCTTAAACCGAAACATTAGAAAGACAAGTATGTATAAATATACAGAAACGTAAGAAGCTATATACAAAATGTGAAATATTTAAAATTAGTGAAAACATGGTTTAATTCATGGCAAAGAATATGAAGGAAAAAAAATATGACAGACAGCAATAGAAAAAAAAACAACCAGTAAATAACTGGCTCCCAAATAGTAGGAAAAAGGCATATCAAGGATGTGACGGAGTAAAACATTTTTGTGAGTGCTCAACCTACCGATAACGTGTGACAGTAGTGTAACAGAACAACATAAGAGAAACATGTAAAATCAGCTGGAAATGGCTTTACTCATTAGATTTTCACGAAGGACCAAAAACAACCTTTAAGAATAAGTTCATACAAAGGGTAAATGAGATCATATATATGTTCTTTCCCGGTAATAAGTTGTGTCCACATGTGGAGCAGGATCTGCTTACCCTTCCGGATCACCTGAGATCACCCTAAGTTTTTGGTGGGTTTCGTGTTGCTCAGCATTTAGTTTTCTATGCTGTATTTTGTGTACTATTGTTTGTCAGTTGATCTTTTTCTTTTTAAGCCATGGCGTTGTCAGCTTATTTTTCGTCTTATGAGTTTGAATGTCCCTCTGGTATATTTCGTCTCTCATTTGCAGATGGTGATTGGATTTATAAACTTTTGTTAGAATGCATGTTTAAAATTACATACATTAATGTAGTAAAAAAATATGTAATAGGGATTACCGTCAAGTTTTATTTTCAAAATCAGAACAAAAAAAAACTATATTAAAAGATAAAAAGACGACTAAAATTAAAACTGCCGTTTAAACACAAGAGCATGATGTAAAGAGTCATGAGTTTTTAAAAATTGAGCTGTAGTAGTGAACTATATATTTACTATTTGACTCGCTGTGGTGCGCATGACCTTGAATGTAGTTGAATGTATTAGTTCATTTTAAAGGACTTCCACAGTGTCGGCTGCTTTATCAGAAAAAGCTTTGCGAATACTTGAATTTTGTTTTTAAATCTTAGAAATGGCGTATTACCTTCTCTTTTATTTATTTCTAAATTGTTTTCAAAATGTGATATGTGAATGTCAACAACATTAAGATATTTATTTAAATAGGATTCAAGCGGCTTTTTGACAGATTTCTCCCGATTATACAAATTTTAACAATAGGATGAACGCGAAAATTAAATATCCTGACCACACTCTTTCCTATTTATTGTCTCGACGGTTGACGATATTTTGGTCCTTTTTTTAAGGAAAATTCACTCCCATGCATTATGCATTATGCACAGTTAAATTTCATTTATCAGATTATAAAAACAAACAGTCCTCTTTTCGAATAAACTAATATTATTCGAACTTGCTATCCTCCTAAGCTTTTCAAACATTCAAATAGACCAGGAGATCACAAACGCTTTTTTCTGAAAATGTTTTGATAAAAGACTTGTTCTTTTTCATCAATTTAACGAGTTTATTTGCCAAGGCAGTGTCCGTTTTTTTTTAACATTCAGTTTAAATATCTCTTTGGAATCTTTAGCCTCTCTTTTATACACCGTTTATATGATTGACTTGTCAGAATTAACCAGACGAACGCCATTATTAAGCAAAGAAATTTTACCTATCGGAAACCAAATCAAATGTTATTTCACTAGACATGTTCTTGTTTAAAATGTTAGTTTTTTTTTTACTGCATATAAAGATGAACATATGTGGTACGATTGGCAATGAGATAACTCCTCACCATAGTCCAAAATGACGTAGAACTTAATTTACTATAAAATTAAGCAACAGTAGTTTATCGATGTTCAAATCTTACAAATCCATTACGATTACAAATCATGGTACAAAATTGAGGGAATCGCATGAACTACAAAAATTGCGAGACCGATGCGTCGACAGTCATTTCGTCTCCTGCTATGCTTGCATCACCCGTCATGTGAAATTCACACTCAGTCTAAATATCACAATCTATAAACTACAATTCAAACGAAAATTCTGGTATTAAAAGATCGCATACGTGAGAATATGGAAAAAAGGACTTTTGCTTCTGTAAATAATGTTGACGTTATGTAAGTGAACAACAATAGTACTTAGTTCGGACACATTTATTTCCGTGCTGAATCTGTATATATTTGAGATAGTGACTTCATCTAATAGGCAGTCTGATTTTTCTGACCCAGCCGAAAACTGAATGACCATCACTTTAGAGGATTAATTGGACCTTCAGTACAAATTTATCATAGCTAAATTTACCAACAATTTTACAAAATCTTACAACTATGAATACCGTTTTTAGTAGGTACCTTATACCTAATTACAAGGATAGTTTGGCATACAAATGTGCAAGTAAAGCAGTCTATGTATTTAACTCAGACATGAACTATTTTGAACGTTAGAGTAGTTTTTACAACGTCCACCAAAACAGAACAAATGAGTTATTGATCAATATGCGGTGCCTTCGTGTAAAATAATGAATGGCGAAATGTCGGAAATAAGTCATAATGTAAGTTTGAATGCACATAATATAATATCTCCGTTTTACAATTTGAATAAAAGATAAAATTACACAATTATATATGGGTTATTTTTTTGTTTATCAAGAATAAATTTGAATTTGTATTCGTATTTAACAAAATGAGGTTTTGTTAATATATCATAGACACGTTTTCAACATTCAACAATTGCATGGCGTGTGTTCTATTGTATATATCTGGTAAAAGTTGACACACGTTTTATTAATTAAAAAAAAAAATGCAAATTGAATATCAATGTTCCTTCTGGTCTAATCTTGGCATTATTTAGAAGTATCTTTTATCACTCCTGTAAAAAGATAACATTGATTTTATCCAAGAAACGTAAAATATTGTGAATATGGTGATGACAGTTAATTATGTAGTTCTGCTTAATCAGATGTTTATCTTTGTCATTAGATAGAACGCCTTACATACAGTGTAGAAAAGACAGCTAATTATTCGCAATTCGTAAGGCTTGATAAGTGGGGAGTTTGTTTTTGTAAAATATTTTTGAATGTATTAACTATTTTGAAAGCTCTGATACATGCATTAGAAGTCATAATCATGTGGATATTAACCACCAAGATAACTTCATACCTGTGCTACAGTAGTGTTATTACTATGAGTGGTTTATTGACATAGTAATTCGACTATACGTTTTGTGGAAGTCCATCTTCAGTAATGTAGATTTCCTGTCATTTTGCTAGCCAAACCAGGTACTTCATATCTGAGAAACAGGCAATATATGCCCTCAATTTTATAATTCATTCATACTTTTTTGTATTATTCCAAATAATCAGTCAATATATGTTCGGTGGTTCACCTTTCATTTGATACCTAAATTACTAACATATATGCTACATAGTTTTATATTTACACCTGGAACTATTTTGTTTTAAATATGTTCTAATTTCCAGTATGTTGTTTTGACCGGGCCAATTTGGTGGTATTACATCTTAAAACATCTATCCGAATCATTTTGCAAAGAATTCCGCTCAAACTGATGCTAGTGGCCGTCTAAAAATTGCAGTGAAGTGAGAGGATTTATTTTGCTCCGTGTTGAAGGTCTCATTGTGACTTTGAGATGAAGAATAGCAATACAAGCGCTGTTCCTTTGTTTTTTTTGTGTATTTATTTTCTCTGTAGATACTGATATGTAGATAGTGATATTGAGTCATGGATGGATACCTCATATCTTTTGTTTTTTTTTCTATTAAAGATTGATCAGCACGAATCAATCCAATTGCAATGTTACATATTTTTCATTTACTTTTTTTGAAAGTTTTTTTTAATTTGTCTTATACTGCCGTTTCTTACATTCTCTTGTTCTCTTGAAATTATAATATTGGAAATATTATGTGTATGCATGAGTGCAGTATTACCTGCAGTATATAATACATGCTGCCAAACTAATCGGAATCAACAACAAAAGGAACAGCAAGTCTGCAAATAAAACAATATAAAATACAACGAAACACACAATTAATTTCTAATTTCCTCTTAATTATTCTTAATTGTGTAAATATATATGACCATAACCCGCTGCATTTGTTTGCCCCTGTCCTAAGTCAGAAACCTGATGTTCAGTGGTTGTCGTTTGTTGATGTGGTTCATAAGTGTTTCAAGTTTCTCGTTTTTATACAGATTAGACCGTTGGTTTTCCTGTTTGAATGGTTTTACACTAGTAATTTTTGGGGCCCTTTATAGCTTGCTGTTCGGTGTGAGCCAAGGCTCCGTGTTGAAGGCCGTACCTTGACCTATAATGATTTGTAAATGAAGTGTTAACTGGCTGTTTGTGTGTCACTTCTGGTATATATTCGAGGCGAGATGTAAGGATAAAAACATACTATCTGTACCCTAAATACAACCAAGTCTGGTTGAGGCACATAACATTTGCAGCCAGAAGTAATTACTCCGTACATACCAATGCACGAATATGGCTGTTTCCGTATTAGCAGGACAACGTCATTAGTTTAGCAAATACTGATTTATAGAATTTAGGCCAATTTGAGCATATCATATAACAGACAATTAGGCTAAGCAATATCTTCACTAACTCTTTTAAAAAAGCACTGCAAAAATACTAATTTTATTCCCTTAAAAACGAGACTCATTCATGATTGAACAACCACATAATAAGTTAAACACAATTACAAAAAAACTATACAGATAAAGGAAAAGATGTTTTTCAAGAAATATATCTGTTCTAATTTTGTATTTGCTTTTTAAATTGTTATACTGTGAAACTCTCGCAAACACATACGATCAAGCCGTTACAGTCCAACAACACAGGGCTTTTAAAATGAATAAGGCTGACTAAAAAGGCTGACACAATAAATAATTGATTAGACTACAATGATCCATTTAATTATTTTCTTTTCTACATTGAAATTCTTTTCAACTTTGTTACGGTTCTTAGATGTGTCATTGGGTACTATTTAGTCCAACACCCGATATTTGACTTATTTGGAATGAGTGCATATGCTTTGTGTTTTTGTTATCTATTCTATAGATATTTTACATAAAATACTTTAAATTTTTCTGCATTTATTTAAATGGTAGGTAGTTAAATGTATATTTTCAAATAGACTAATCGAAAGTAAAATTAATATTTGGTAGGGATGATGCCTCAATTAGGTGCAGGTACCTGTCTCAAGTCATGACTTTCGTCAGTGGCTGTCTTATGTCATGGTATCATTTTCACGCACCGATGCTATTCCATTCTTTGTTCCAATTTATAAACAAGAGATAATTGACCTCGAGTTGACATAAAATCAAAAAACTGTTGGACTAAACTTACATAGAAGATTACTATTGTCGGTGTCAGGAGTGTGATCTTCAGTTGTGGGAGTTACCGATTCCACTGATGCTGTCGTCATTTCTATAACTGAACTTTTAGACAAGTACAACAATGATGTAGCCCCAATGCCAACCGAAGTTGACTTATACAAAGAAGATGTTTGAAACTGAGATGTACTTATGGAAGATACTCCAGTTGCAGTGTAAATTAAAGTTGGTGTTGGACATAGGTTCAAGTCGGTAACACATTGCCCGTTATAACATCTGTGTAAGCCTTCCGGACACTGGTTTGGATCTGTACCTAAAATGTACACTAAAATGAGATGAGAAGAACAGGATTCCTATACAAAACCTAAAAAACTGAAAGTTTGCTTGTAGGAGCTTAGCTTTAAATATCTCCGTACTTCCTGAATATGCATACGATATATATTTGCCACTGAACATCTTATCAACCAAGCAATCTTTAATCTGTAGTTTGAAGAATTCAAACTTTTTGAGATATTATATTAAACAAATTCAAATTTCCAAAATGTCGCAGTTAAAAATGGACACTCTCGTATAACAAAATTGCTTTACATTTGCTAATACTAATAATAGGCGTATACAGAACTTTATTTCTGAAAATATAATAGCCGTAGGTTTAAAATAACGGTCTAATACATCGGCTAATTAACCAAGAGTAATACTGAAAAGTTAGTACTAAGTCTTTTGAAATAACAATTTCAAAGTGTTTAGTATAATCAATGTTGACTTGAATTTTCGGTTTCTTTTTGTTCTTGTTTCACGATTTCAATCCTTGCATTGTATTGCCCCGTTGCTTGTATTGGGTTCGTGTTGCTCAGTCTTTAGTTTTCTATGTTGTGTTTTGTGTACTGTTGTTTGTATTTTGGTGTTTTTCTTTTTTGCCATGGCGTTGTCAGTTTATTTTTGACTTATGAGTTTTTAAGTCCTTATGGTATCTTTCGACTATCTGTACGTGTTTATTTATTTGTTTTTCTAAAAAAACATATTGTTTATATGCTCAAACCTGAACATTTGAAAAAATAGGATTGTTAAAATACATTGACACGTTAGGAGCTATCTTGCCGAAAGAGAAGAAAATAATAGAAAAAATCATGAAAGTTCAACTTTGCATCAGGCAGTTTGAACCTTATTTTCTAGATAGTTTGTTAATTTTCGAAATGTAAGTTATAAATCATGTCAATACCACAGTAAAATATACTTAGCATTTAAATGAATAAACTGAAATCAATGTATGAAACAGAGCACTAGCTAGGAGGCCCTTTTCAAGCGTTCTATAAATATGTTGGCATATGATAGGGCCATTTTTGTGCCGTCTTTCTGCAGATAGTGTTCGTCATTAAAAGGGAAGCTGTTGTTCTTTAGCAGCTAATTCCAAAAGTGTAATCAGGCATTCAGAAAACAATTTTCTATAAATAAGATGAAATAATGTCGTCAAAAGGTTTATTGGTGTGGCTTATAATAGAAGGGGAGCTACTAAGTTATATACAGATACTTGTATTTTCTATTTTCCGCCAATGCCATATAGGGGAAGTCAATCTTATTGCAAAATTAAAACGATCACCGTTTGCTGCGTTTTGATTCATTTGTTTGGTTGTTTTTGGAGGGACTGTCACAAAAATAAGATTAAGTGCAGTATATCACAAACTTTGAAAAACTTATCTGGTTATAGTCACTTTACTTACAGTTCACTTCATCAGAACGATCTCCACAATCGAAGTTATCGTCGCACCTTTTCTCACTAGAAACACATTCTCCATTTGAACATTGAAACTGGCTTGAAGTACATGAATCTACTGTCTTTATGGGACAAAACAAAAAATAAAATACTAAGGCGAGGTGTACGTAAACGAACAGCAAATAAACGAGCTTTATAGTTGTGTTTATGTTACACACTAATGACATAAATAAAAGATGTGAGTAATACGTCAATGGGACCAAAACCAAACGACACAATAAAGCTAAAGATATCTTTAGCTTTAAATCGCCCTCAGTCTAAACACATGGGGAATAAATACCTAAGACAGAGTCGACTTACCCTTTCCTTCAAATTATCCACAGAACTAAAAAAATAAATACGATGTAATATAAACAGCCACTGACTAAGTTGCTTTGCACTTGGTACAAGCTTATGAACATGTGGCGGGGTTAAACAAGGCATTGAGGTCTGAACTCTTCCAATTTTAAAGTGGATTTGTGTCATAACGAACGGTACATATACACAAATGAAAGTGCAATACAAATCATTAAAGAGAAAACCTTACCTCTAGTTCTGTTGTGCTGATACAATATGTTACTTTACACGTATTCAAGCAAAAACATTATAAACGTGGTTGATTTTCGACAATGACGATTGGAGTGCAGACAAATGAAAGAAACTTTTTTGTCTTACGTCAAACTATAAATTATCGAATAGTTGTTACGCCGCATTACTTGCTATGTGCCTGTCCTTATTCAGGAAACTGCAATTTATTTAAGAATTGAATGCTTCTTTTTGTAAATTTATTGGGGTGTAAAAACGTTGGACGAAGTACATTTTGTATGAAGCGCGAAGCGCTGCATTCTAAAAATGTGCGCACGACCAACGCTTTTACAACCCTATAAAATTACGAAAAGAAGCATTCAATACTTATTATTACATTTTTTTGCTAGGATCATAAAAACGCGATTTCTATCAAGTTTTTATTTTATTTACCTGAGAACTTTATTGTGGAAGCTCGTGTCATCGTGAATTTTACATTTCATTGTGAAAAGAAGGTTAATTTCATAATGACGTGAATTGCTGTTAGCCAATCAAAACAACGTATTATAATGAAGCATACATGCAATTTAATTACTAGTTTGTTATGGATTGTCGTCTGTCATATTTGTTTCTTTTTTATTGTTTTGGCCGTTGTTTTTTGTTTTTTGTTTTTTGTTTTGTGTTTTTTTATCACGCTTAGAAGCTAACTATACTGTAAAGGTTTTGCTCATTATTGTAAATCGACGATGACCTATAATTGTTTACATCAACAATCTTTGGTCAGTAATAGGTGCATTTTGTTTTGTAATCGTCTCTGAAAAACATAAACCGTCTTTTTATTTAAATAAAAAAAAACATGAATACCTTAGCTAAGACCATGATTCAATACAAATGATCAAGCTTATTTTTTCCTTAATAATCCTATAATCATATTTTGATAAAAACAAAATACAAAGGGCAGTTCCTTAAGACTTGTTATTTTTTAATCATAAATCCATATATATATTTAATATATACACAAGTCAAAATTGAAAACAACGTTCAAACCTATGATTGCGTTGGATAAAAACCGCAATTTTTATACGTGTGCATGTAAAACAAATTTCTTGGTAGAGGGGTCTAAATACAGCACAAACAACATTTTCCAAAAGACCAAAATAGTGAAAAAGTAAATTTTAACAAAACGCATTTGACTAACAGGTCGAACAACGGATGTTCTTAACCCTGCTGACTGCCATTGGCGATTGCATATATTAAACGAGACAAATACCAGATCCTAATCTGCGTCGTTGCCTTCATATGATTGAGGTAGAATATGCACTAAAGGATAACTGATAAAGAGGACTTCCAAAACTAAGTTCAATTGGAATTGAATAAAGACCTTATTTATTAAAATGTCTTTGTAAAATGAGTGTGGCAAACTTTTAATGTATTGGCAAACAGAAAATGACTACAGATATTTATGAATTGCTTACACGCTACAACTCAACATTATCAAGCTCCAGACCAAATATAAAAATATTTGCTTCAATAGAAGTCTAGAAAAGATTGATTTCAATATGTGACATTTAATGATGGACAAGAGTCCATGTCAGATGTTAAACTCTAACTCGTTTCGAGACCTTTTCAATGTATTCTTCTGGAGGAGAAAACTTCAAACTGTAACAAATGGTATAAACGGAGAAACAAATGTATATCAATATCAAATATGGAAGTACATTTAGATAAATGTTTAGAAAAAAAAAGTTGAAATTTAACACAATTAAATCATATTTATTGCACTATATGATGTTTAACAATTTACTTAGCTTACATCATTGGGCTAAGTTTCCTTGTGTATTATTTATTAGATATCCAGGGAGAATATCTAATAATATATTTATATATATATATGTAAGTTTATTGTTTTCTGTTTGGTAATAAATTAATAATAAGATCTATTTTGTTACATCTGGCGATCCGTTTATTTGGTAATCGCCAATGGCAGTCAGCAGGGTTTAAGAACATCAGTTGTTCGACCTGCTAGTCAAATGCGTTTTGTTAAAATATATTTTTTGACTCATTTGGTCTTTTGGAAAATGTTGTTTGTGCTGTATTTAGACCCCTCAGCCAAGAAATTTGTTTTGCATGAACACGTATAAAAATTGCGGTTTTTATCCAACGCAATCATAGTTTTGAACGTAGTTTTCAATTTAGACTTGTTTATATTTTTTCGTTTGGGCTTGTATCATATTTGCCTTCGGGTTTATATGATCTATTCATCCTATTTAGACTCTTCCAAAATTCAAGAGTCTATCCTTAATTGAGGTAAATTATATGACCTTCCAAATACCGTTTCGATTCCTAACATCACTGAAGAGACATTAATTGTCGAAATCCGGATATGGTGTACAAAATTTTGCACCTCATGTTTGCGGTATACCATCTTTTCCGCAAGTTTATTGTTTTCTGTTTGGTAATAAATTAATAATAAGATCTATTTTGTTACATCTTGTGATCCGTTTATTTGGCAATCGCCAATTGCAGTCAGCAGGGTTTAAGAACATCAGTTGTTCGACCTGCTAGTCAAATGCATTTTGTTAAAATATACTTTTTCACTCATTTGGTCTTTTGGAAAATATTGTTTGTGCTGTATTTAGACCCCTCTACCAAGAAATTTGTTTTGCATGCACACGTATAAAAATTGCGGTTTTTATCCATCTAAATCATAGGTTTGAACGTTGTTTTCAATTTAGACTTGTTTATATGCTAGTATTATACACTTTAACATAATACATAATACATAATATAAATAAACATAAATATAAATTGATTCAGACGATTTTTATGTCTGCTTACAAATCTGAAAAAATAACGGTTCTACACCGTATGTGTAACTGGAATTTAATTATTCTTTTATAATTTGAAGGATTTATTTTTCAAACTTAATTGTTTGACAATGCTAATGGAAATAAATATAAAGGGAAGTGTATATGATTATGTAAATTGCAAATCAAAAGGTCATTTTTTCAGCGATGCATTTTTGGCACCTCGTGGTCTATTATTTATACACGGAAAGTAGCATGCGTTGATTTGTCAAACATACGTACGCACTACAGGACATATATCAATTACAAGACACGATATGTTTATGTCTTTAATAACATTTTTCCGGTTTCAATATTTCTGATCGCATTTAATTTTATGATGTCGTTTATTTCCGTTTTGAAAATTTAGATAAATGTTATTCAAATTAAATAAAGTGAAATTGTGTTTCGAAGTAAAACAATAACAACGTTTGACTTCGTACAGGGATATGTGCATGGTGAAGAGTTGAAGAGTGAAAGTAGTATTTAGAAACAGGAATTTGTACCTTACTAGGTCTTGTACTTCATATACTTACATATAAATGAAAGATGACAAAGAATGTGAAGCAACTTATGGCAGTAGTCTTCATTACTTTTTTTTTGTATTTTCATTTAATTCGCCTAAAATTAAAAACAAATGTGCAACGGTAAAATTAAATGTTCAATATTATTTTTACGTGTACCAGTAGAAACATGAATTAGATACCAAGTCTGTCAACCTTAAAAGTAACTGAGTAGAATGGTGAGAACATCTTAATGTTTACGGTGATCTAAACGTTGTTTACCGACCCCGGAGATGTAGAAACGATCCGGGTAAACTTATCAAACCTTTAAATAAACTTATTCTAAAATGTTATTAATTCAACAATGTAGTTAGATCTTGGAATAATGTTTTTATTGGTATAAATATTGATTTTGTTTTCAGTACGGTAAGACCACACTTATATTATTGAAATACACATATGCACATTCACGGTTCTACAATATGTCGATACCTATATTTTGGCATTTCACAAGGTCGTGTTTTCCACTGACTGTTCATGACGTCCTAACACAAAGTCCATTGTATGTTAGATGTGTACTGATTGATATTTTAGTCTTCGATACATGATTTCTAATTAGTTGTTATTGGCTTTAAACTAGCTGTCGATCAGTATCTGCGAGTACTCTCAGATCTGTACCTTGTGTCTTTTTTGTTGCCACATCCGGTCTGTTTTTTGTTAGATGTTTTGCTGCTTTTTATCGATCTGCAAGTTAAACCCTTTTCAACAGATTTGTATAATGTGTTCTTATGGTGTACCGTTACATCACTGTCCCATGTTAAGGGGATGGTTTGGCGCCAGCAAACATGTTAACCCAGCCACATTCTAGATTAGCTTGTCCAATGTACAAGGAGACATGTATTTCAGTGGTTTTTGTTTTTTTTTGTTGTTGTTGTTTTTTCTCATATTTGGTTTTCTTTTATTGTTTTGGATAGTTTTTTCTTGTGTGGTGCCGTTTCAACACTGTCCATGTAAGGGGGGGGAGGGTTTAAGCGCCTTTAAATATGTTTAACGCCGCCATATTCTTTATGTGCCTGTCCCAAGTCAGGACTCTGTATTGCAGTGGTTGTCGTTGGTTCATGTCTGTTATATTTCTTTTTCGTAAATTGTTTTGTTATAAATTAGGCTTTTTTTTGTCTTAATTGGATTGTTTCATATTTTTTTATATCGGGCCCTTTCTAGCCGATTATACGGTATGGTTTTTCTCATTGTTCTCCTTATTTTATAATGTGCCTGATCCATTTGTCTTTTTGAACAATAAACTATGTTTAAACATAGTGAATGATGATACGGGATTTGATTAACTGTTATGCTTTTTTGGTTTTTAATCCAAAAAGAAAATCATATTGGTTGCGTCCAATGACCAATAAAAAGAAATCAATATGCTAGGAAGCTTTGGTGTTAAACGTCCAGTGGCACATATTACATGCATATCAGGACGTGTTAATGTTAATGTGATATACATTGTAAATATGAACACTGCTCCTAAATTATCGGACACGCTAAGCCGAATATTAACATGCTTGTTCACAAGATAACATCTCACAGGAAGACATGTCAACCTAATCGGACACATAATTTCTGAGACGAATAGCCCAGCAAGTGTTTTTCGAACTAAGATACGTTTTCTCCAATACACACATACATGATATATACACGAATAAACACTACATACATCTGACATAAACAAATTATGTTTTTTTCAGCTTGAAGATGTAAAGTTCTTATCCAGCAATTATAACAAATCGAGTGCATCTCATATAGGAAAACATATAGAAACAAACACATCGATGTGCAATTGAGTAGTCAAGCTAGGAAATGATAAGCCGGTGAACAATAAGAAAGTTGAATGTTTTGCATCAAATTTAAAATACATCAGTCTCATAGTTACTGATGTGATACTATCACATTAAGCTCTTCATGTTAGCAGACACTTTTAATGTGCATGCGCTCTTCATCAAGGGAATAGCCAAAAAATGTTTAGGTAAATAACATAACGTTAAAAAGTATACCCGGACTACTCAATAAGAAATGCGAGCCTTTTTCAGTTGATTTTTATAGTTTGTACTTATGTTGATCTATTACGAAACGCACGTATGGCGTACAACATTAGAATCCTGGTATCGCTGATGAATTTTGTTACACTACTGACCCAGGTAAGGGAAGGGTTGAGTGCTAGCTGAAATTTTAAACACCTTGCATTCTGTATGCGCCTGTCCTAAGGCACGGACCTGTAATTCAGTGATTGTCATTCGCTAACGTTCGGTGTAAAGAAGGTGACAAATATAGTGCCTACCCATGTTTAAATGAGCATAGAGCATGACATGAAAGAATTTTTATAACATTGCGATATTTTGTCATAACTTCATCGACAATGTCTGGCGCCAAATTAAATTTTCATTTTCTGGATGTTTTAAAATCTTTAATGTATATTATTAAGACTCTTTAATATCTAAATTCCAGTAGATTTTAACAAGTTATAGATTTTGTCCCTGTGAGTAAAAGAAATTCAAAGGAAAATAACGTTGTCCTTTGGAAACGGAAGATGTGTCTATGAGACAATAACCCGACCAAAGAGCAGAAAATAGCCAAAGGCATGCACCAATGGGTCTTAAACGCAGCGAGAAAATCCCGCATCCGAAGGCGGGTTTCATCTGACCCCTTAACAATACTGTATACTAGTTCATCGGAATTGACGCCACACTAAACTCCGAAATATACAAATGAACAAACATATAAAAAGCCCACAATACAAACTAAAGGCCAGAGGATTATGACTTGGAAAAGGCGCTAACATGCGGCGGGGTTAAACATGTTTTTTGAGATCTATATCTCCCCCTTTACCTCAAGCAAATATGGAATAAACAAACACATAGCAATATGCACAGTACAATTCAGTACAAAAGAAGTCCCGAGTCCGATGTTAGAATAGGTAACAGAAGAAACTAAGCAAAATGAAAATGATCAACATAAATTAACAAAGGACTACTGGCCGTTTCTGTTATGCCAGCTCCAGACCTCAATTAAACTGATCGAAAAATTTGTCTTCTTCATCCACAATCCCTCCCGTTATGGGCTTAGTATACATGCCATACATTGCATACATGTCTTGTAATAGCCTAAAAGAGGTGAGCATGTGTATAGAAATTTTGGTCATTTGTAATACAATAAAATGTGTCTCATGACAGAAGCCGCTTGGAACATGTTAATAAGTTACGAATATGAACCGTTCTGTGTACATGACTGATACCCTAAGCCACATTTTGCAAGACTTTGGATTGTCTCGACCGGTGATCGTACCAATGACACCCCGTAGTCGAGTTGATGCCACTACGATAAAGATAGGATTACATTGCTACAGTTACAGATCCTGTAACATGTAAATTTATATTCAATATAAGCTAAGTTTGGGATACTGTACCAAACACAGCTTTGATTATTTGGTAGTAGCACCAGCCGTCACACTTGTAAAACTAAAGTGTAACATACTTATCGGCGAATTCGGTTTGTTTTTCTTTTTTAATGTACATCTCAGCGCAATTTAAGATAGAAAAGAGTGGTATTCCAAACATGCATTGTCAATACAAATGATACAACATCAAAGAAATAAAAATGTCTGCAGCTGAGAGTTCGTTTTCATGCGTTTGGTATCCCAAAGTGTATTTTAAAAAGTGAGATAAAAACCCTTGAAGAACGTTACAAGATCACTGAACGCCTCCAGATCTTTTCACCATAACATGCAGGAAGTATTATAAAAAAAGTATAAACACTTGAATGAAATATATGTATACTTAAAAGTAAACGTAAACAAATATTATTAATACTAAATGTAAAGTTTGGTTATCTTAGTGTGTACAATTTCTAAACTAATTGAAAAAAATAAGACGAGGTTTATTTTAGGTACATGTATTTGAATTTACTCTGCTCATTTCCAAAAAAAGTTATTTGTTAAATTGAAACAAAATACTTACAACTTAGCCGAAATTTCTCAAAATGAATGTTGTTTAAGAATTCCTCGCAAAACTATACTTGAAAGAAAAAAATATTATATTACTGATAAAGAAATACGCAATAATATAACTGGATTTTCCCAAAGGTACGTATTGAACTAAAAGATTAAAAATAGACTTTTATCTATTAAAATGTCCTTTCGGAAAACATTAAACGTAAACGAAAATAACACTGTCATTAATCTTATCTTTTATATTTCTGGCATAAATAAATCTATACCAAAATATTTAAATGATATCGTTGTATTGCGAGACATTGACAGTTAGTCAGACTGACATAGTAATTATACATTTATACGCTCGTCGAAGACCGGACGTTTTGTGATATACATATGTTCGTCCGATCGTCTGTCAATCAACACTTCGTACGATAACTTAACATGGTGTTAACAACATTAGGATTGACATATCGCACACTTCAAACTGTAACTCTAGTATGCCTGGATTGATTTCCTTAAAACTTAACAGTACTGTTGGAATTGATAAAAGGAAGCTTTCGTGCCATCTTTTCGGTTTTCTTTTTTTTTTCTCTTCCAGAGTTGCCTGACTTTAGTCACATGTTATACCATAACTTGAGTTTGCATGGAATGGTTTGCTGACGACTAAATGCAATTGTTGGAATTGGTGAACATAAAACACCATTCAATTGTAAAATATTTCCTTTTGTTCATTCAAGAGTTATTGGACTTTGACCTTCAGATAAAATGCAGGGCATTTCGTGAATGTCATGTAGTATATGTAGCTAAAGTATGCTTGGGTTGAATTACTACAAACCTTAAGCTGTCCTAATTTAAATACTTAGGCCACGCCCAATTATTACCTCGTTCGTCGGATTCCCCGCGTGCTGTGAAAGGTCAACCAGAAAAAAGTACTTTTTTTTAAAAACCCGCGTCTAGTATGGAGCCGCGCGCATCCGTCTCTAAATTTATGAAACAAAAATTTTAATCAGTTGTGCGTTTGAAAGTAACACCATACAGACACGGAAATTGACATTAAAAACGATCTAGATCTAACATTTACAACGTTGTTGTTACAATATTATTGCCAAATTTAGTATGAAAAGGAAATATGACAGCAATTTTTAGACCAGCTGCATTTACCATCCCTCAAAGTTCGTCAAACCAAAAACAAATAATATCCTCCTCTGCAGATTCATACACGGTGAAGCCAATTTACCATCTGATCAACTGAAAAAAAAAACATCTAGGACAACCAAGAACATGCATTACGGTCAACATTTCCTGAGACTGCAAACAAAACCAGACTCATTAAAATTCTGCTTCATACCAAGCACAATTAAAGATTGGAACCTACTACTACCGGATATTTTCACCAAGATTCAAACAGCAGAAGAACCAGCTAAAACTTTCAGTGATATTGTAAGGGGAGTCCCACTTAAGTGAGTTACTTGACTCACGTGCAGTGTAGTAATATCCTTGAATGATTCACCGTATACTTATCAAGATCAAATGACAAAGCAACGACGCCACCGAATTGAAAGATTTAAATTATGACAATATAACATGCATAAGAATGAAAGAGAATCCCAAAGCTGATGGTACATGAAATGGCGCCGCAAATGAAACTATTATATTGTTTACTTTTTTTTTATCTGTTTTAGAATAAAGGTTTTCCTTGAATTTCTATTTATATTTGCTAGTATCATTACAAAGTTATATTAAGATAAAACTGAGAATGGAAATGGGGAATGTGTTAAAGAGACAGCAACCCAACCAAATAGCAGAAAACAGCTCAAGGCCACCAATGGGTCTTAAACACAACAAGAAAATCCCACACCCAGAGGCTGGCTTCAGCTGACCCCTCAACAATTATGTATACTAGTTAAAAGCATGGAATTTGACAATAATTTTAATGTGGTAATTGAATTTAACACATTAATCCATCTTTACAATTTACAAAAATAAAATAAGATTTGTATGATTGTCAATGAGACAACCTTCCACCAGAGACCAAATTTGTTGAGGTTTGCAACTAGTTAACGGTATGACCTTCAGCACAGAGCAATATCCACATGCATAGATATATAAATGTGAATGTCATTGAATTCTACAGGAAAGCAATGACTTAAGTGGAATGTATTGAAATGTTCCTTTTGTTTAGTAAGTATATAGCATCTGACTGGTTCATTTGAATGGTATAAATTGGTGTGGGGTTTTTGAAGGACAGTCCTTTATTAATTGTCATCTTGTTGTATACACAAATAGTTATGGTTGTATATAAAAGCTTTATACATGCATTTATGATTTGCATACGTTCATTTAAAACAACATACTATGCATCAATTATACTTACATTAAACATGGATGCATGCCTGTTCAAAGCTGTTTCACTTTTTCATGTTCAGTAGGATCATATTTTTTTGATAAGACTACACAAAGTTGTAGGTTTTGCTACAAGTTGACCATTTTATACTTGGAAATTTTGTGAAAAGATTAAACAAGGTGTCAGAGAACAAATTGAGAAGCAAAGTAGGATAATATAAGAACTAGGATATGAGATATATAAAATATCAAGCACCAAAACTATGTAAATTTCTAATCGCTTGCTTGCTTAAAATTCTTTTCATAGATTTAAAAAAAAAAATATTTCAAAAATATTATCGCTCGCTAGTAAAAAATTATTTCGCCTGCCAAAAATCAAATTTCGAAAAAAAAAATTAAAAATTTTCGCTCTCTCGCTACCCTTTTTCAAAGGAAAGTTTCCGAAGAACAAGAAATTTTATTTGGTGTGGCCTTATATGTATCCTCACGCATGTTTTTCTACAGAGCCATTTAATTTGTCTCGGATTACATGGCTTCGAAATAACCCATTTAGTTTTGAAACAATGTCAATCTGCACAATTTTAGGCGTGTCATGCGCTCTTTGCTCAGCTGTTTAATTTTTATATATTTGCAGTTCAGACTAAATTACACATTTCTTTTTGTGCACTTTTTTAACTTACGTATTCTTTATCACGGTATCTCAAAAAAATAATAAAATGAAAAATAAAATAAATTGATAATCTACAAGCATTGGGCCAATTTCTGAACTTTTAAAGATAAACTATGTTAGTTAGAAGACAAACTAGGTAACATTTTGGGATTTAGTTTTGAGAGCACATACAAAAAAATTCAAACCTATTGACGAAACATCTGTGTATTTATATACCTGACATTAATAGGAGAGTCTATGATGTACACAATTTAGGTATTATCCAGGTGTTCTTTTAATCAAACCAGGTATAAACAAAACCAAATACTAACAAGTAAAAGTGCAAAAAAGGAAATGATCAACACCCCAACCGGAGAAGATGAGTTGCCGTTCATGGTATGTTAAGACTAACTAAGATAGCTCTCCAGAAAAATCGTTAATTAAAGGTAAACATAACTGAAAATGGCTAATGATGTAGAAGCATTGTCTAGAAAAATGACAAATGATAGAATTAAGAGGTTGATTGAGGGCCTACGTGGTGTAGACGCAGAATATAGCAGTGAACTTAAAACTCAAAATCAAAACAAAGAAAAAATGGCGTCCTATAGTGAAGCACTGTCCGGAAAAAATAAAAACACAGAACAAAACAATGACAACGTAATCAATACAAATGATAGTCAACCCAACTCAACTTCAGCTTCAACTTCAAGTAATTTTGTAAAACCCATATTTCTAAAAGATAGTGACGTGCATGGTTCTATGAAACCGGAGCTGTCTATGTGGATAACCAATGTCGAAATTTATATAGCTGTCGGAGAAAAGGTCCCCGCGGAATGTATTAAAGGCATCCAACGCATTAGAGAAATGTGGCGTATCTACATGGATAATGAGGAAGACAAACTGTCGCTGTTAGTGCAAGGTATAAACCTTCGTGGTAGGCAGGTCCCCTTGCATTCACAAAACCCTCATAATCCATCTAACTTATTACAACCTGATACGATACGCATAAAAGTGAAAAACGTTCTTCTCTCAGCGGATGATGGACAGATTCATCGTGCCTTAACTTTACAGGGGTGTAATATTCAGGCATTTTCTCGAGAAAGGCTCAGGATTGATGGAAAAGTAACAAATTGTGAAACAGGAGATAGGTTAGTGATCAGTAAATTACTTGAAAAACCCATTCCAAGAAATCTTCAGATTGGGAAGTACTTAGCAAGAATTTTTCATTCAGGTCAACCCGAGTTTCAGGGAAGAGCAAATTTAGTGAGCTACGAAGGTGTCAAAAAGTGTCACAAATGTCTCAAACCAGGTCATGTAATGTACAATTGTCCAAATGATTGGGTTTGTAGGATATGTAACATAAGTGGACACAAAATGATAGACTGTCCAACAGAACTACAGACTCATAATGGCATGGAACAAGAAGTCAATGATAAACATGAAGAGACAAATACAGAACAAGTTTTAAACGAAAACAGCAAAGATGATGAACACACAGAGGTCAATGAAGATGAACCTGTAACAGAAAAACAAAGTAAAACTAAAGAGAAGCATAACACAGGAAAATTGGGCTCTAAAAAAAGTGGATTGAAAACAAATGACGATAATGCTGTAAGGTCACAGCAATCTCTTGACAAATTCATGAGAACTCCAAACAATCAGAGAAGTCTTGGTTCTAGGACTCATTGTCATATACACCTCCAACACCACCAGAGGCACTTCATGATAGAACAAGTGACAGTCATGGACCAAAGAAAGCAAAAGCAAAATAGTAATCAAGTGTGTTTAACATCATAACAATCTTAAAGTCTTTTAAAATATCACATTTTTTATCACACTAAAAATACTTTAAAAAATATAAACAATGATAATGCCTCAGCTCAAAAACAGAGTTCAAAATATGTTTATGTACCTCCAACAATATAAAAGATTATTACTATGTAAATATATTAATTTTTATTGGTTTTTTTTTATTATCTGTGTGTCTTATTTTAGTATATACCATAACTAAAAAAAAAACAAAAAAAACTTTGAAAAGAAAAATGTTTAAGATCAAATGTAGAGTAAAAATGATTGATGAAACAAATTTAATGAGAAGTACAAGATTGATGTCCAAAATATTATATGTTGTTGTATATAAAACGATAACCGTAAGATTGGTTATGAAAATGAACAAACTATGTCTTGTTGATATAGAGTATGTTAATTTTTTCAATTTTGTTGTTAACATCAAACAGCTGTTATACTGGTTTTCCCAAAGTTATTTTTAATTCTGTGTACATGGTATGCTATAAGTAGACTACAAAGAATCGAGTTTATCAAACTATGTATGCCTTTAAATCAGACATATAGGGAAAACATTTCCCCGTATTCCATTATTTTTACTACTGCAATGGTAAACTAAAGGTATATGTGATTTCATTTAAAATATTTGTATTAAACGGGTTTTTACCAAATGTATTTATAGTAACACTCTATGAACACAAGAATACATGTAAATTAAAAAAAAACGATGATTGCATGCGTGACGGTTGTACTTTCTATTTAGAGAAATACGAAAGAATATAAAATAATAGAACAATCAGAAGACTATTAAAAAAAGAGATCAAACTCGTCGGAAGGTAACCATCTCCTGCAATGCATGAGCCAAGCGTCCACGGATATCTTCAATTTGTTTTAGTTATCAATTTCTGCTTAGCATGCCATATTTCCGGAAAGGAATAGGAACTGCATACCCTTCAGAAGCAATTAAGTTCACTTCTAAAGTTACGGGCGTTAGGGTTGCTTTGGTTTGTTTTCTGTTATACTTTTTGATATTCCTCAATGTCTGTTTTAAATAGAAATGTCATGGCGCATTTGGTTTATCTATAATGCAACATTGCCTGTAATAACGCATACGAAAATTGAATACCCAGTACAGTGAACAAAGATCCAGTTCTTCATTGTTGGTTTTAATTCAAAAGGAACACAAAACAGATAAAACAAGGACAATACAGATATAGCTTGTACTGCAGGGACAACATCATTTTTTGTCAAGGAGGTAGGAGAGATGTTCATAAAAAAATGAGTCTATAATGATACATGAGTTCTTATTTTGATTTGTATTAACGTCATCACAACCTCAACCGAGTAAACAGATTATCTATCGCAAAGTATCTAAACAATCATAATATACAACACAACATAACCGCTGACGAGGTTCATTTCCCGACTTGAAATAGGCACACACTTGGATATCGGAGTTTATTTTATATAATTTCAAACATAGGATGTTGCATGATTGAACATTTAATAACAATCATTACATGAACAGTTTACATCTTTTTAATAACGGAATAACAGATAAGAAAACACAGATAAAAACAAAACTATACTGATAATATTATACCATATCAAAGAATGCTCACAGTTCATAAAAACAAGCTAGATATGAAATTATGCCGTCCGACGCTCTAATATTGGTGGCAATACTTCAAGAAGATTTCAGTCAGTAACTGTAGAACCGACGTCTTGCAATATTCAGACAATACAGCAAATAATGCATGACAGAAAAACCAAATAAAGTCGATCAAGTTTTCTTTCTAAGTGTAATTTGAACTTTTGAGTACTTATCTTTAAGAAAACTGACTAAATATCACAACAACAGTAAACATATAAAATGTATTATGACAGCAAAAAGTCATTAAACTAAAATGACTGAGTTTTGAAAGGGATGGAAAATAATTAACAATGTAAAAGATGAATAAAAAACGTGTCTAGTAAAACGTTTTTAGAGGAAGAATTGTTCTGTACATAAGAGGACAATTGGGAAAACACATCTTGAACTAGCATACAATAATACAGAAAAAAAACTATAGTGTATGTATTCTTCCTCTTTGTATACTAAACATAAATTTCATCAGGAATATATGATTTATTCAACGAACGTAACTTATCTGATACATTAAAGTCCATTTATAATTTCAATTATTTTATTGTTGCTGCATTTCCTGCATTTTCTTTTCTTTTTTTTTTTTGACTATGTATTTATCCTTTCGTTTCCTGTTAAGAAAAAAGATAGGATAAGTTATTGAAAGAAAATGATCGTTCGTAAATAGACTCCAACATACAATACATCTCAGGTAAGTACATTTGGTTATTCATAATTTGAAAGTTTCTTTGTAATGTTTTGTTTACAATCTTTGAATCCTTTTGGTATCTTCTTTTATTACTCAAAGATTCGTCAAATATTTTTTACGATGTGTCATGATTTTAACTTACATTTTTCATAAATTACCATAATCTTGTATAATCTAACCGAAAGTGCGCTTTACAATACCTGTCTTTACATATTAAGGGTTTCTAAAAACAATTTGGAAAATAACTAAGCTACAATTGTACCAATATAATCAATATTTTCAACAAAGAGATCTTTACAGGCAACATAACTGTACTTGATTATTACATGTATAAGAATAAAAATGAACTTAACATTTATTATACCTACACCTACATAATGCAACTCATTTTATTCAGGATTAACAATCACAATTAAACCTTTGCTCTTAAAAATGTAAAAACCAAACCTTTATATTGATTGCTTGTGTTCTTCACCCGGTACAGATATAGTACTGTAAGCCATGTTATATCCGGAAACATTAACATCGTAAATAATGAAAAACTAAGAGTCTCATAGTTACTAACCAAAGGCCTTAGATGTAGAATTCCCTAACCAATAAACTATAAATAGATCTTCAGGTAACAAGTATATGCAGTTAAGGACAACGCTAAAAAAATTGGTTAGGGGAAGACCAGAGAGACCTTAACTGAATACTTTGTTGGAATGGACAAGCAATGTTGGTTCTGCAATTTTGAAATGCATTGAGAAATTTTGTACTATATAAACTAACGGTATTTTGTATTTTGGATACGCCTTTGATAATTCATTGTCTAAAATGTCGTTTATATAGTATTCATTTATTTGTTGTTTACCTATAAAAACTAGAGGCTCTAAAGTGCCTGTGTCGCTCACCTAGGTCTATGTGCATATTCAACAAAGGACACTCTCCAACATTGTAGACGAGAATATAATTCATGACAAAAATCTCTTTTTTGTTGATCTTGTATTGCTGATCCTTTTTTTCTGTTAAGTTTCCCTCTATCTTCTTTAGTTTTGCTCAAAACACAAAAGAGGTTAAAAAAAATTCCTCCTTTAAGGGCAATCACTCCTATAAAGAGTGACAGTCTACTCACTATATCGGCAGAATTTGACTTGTTTGTAGTTCTTGCGTTGCAAATCATTTTTGCTAATTCAAGTTTCTATTCGTCAATATTAATTTTTATCATATAAGGCAAAACGCAAAATAATTGGTTAAATTCATCATTAATGGGCAATAACTCCAAGAAGGAGTCGTTGGATGATTTCCTTCATTTGCCTTAATTGTATATCGTGTCTTGCTGATCATTTTTGCTTATTTAAGTTTCTATCTATCCATTATAATTTTTAAGATATGAGGCAAAAACGCAAAAAATTGGTAAAAATCGTCATCAAAGGCCACTTACTCTTATAAGGAGTCGACTGACGATTTCGACTATGTTAGACTTATATGTAGAACTTGTCTTGCTGATCATTTTTGCATTTTAAAGTTTCTCTCTGTCTATTATAGTTTTCAAAATAATAGCCAAAAATGAAAAAAAGTGGTAAAATTTGTCATTTAAGGACACTAACTCCTATAAGAAGTCGTCTGATAGTTTTAACGTATATAAACAATTGGTAGAGCTCAACATTCTGAACATTTCGGCCACTGTCAGATTTTCTCTATTTATAACTGTTTTTAAATAATGGATAAAACTTGCATTTTAACCCTATGTTCTATTTTTAGCCATGTCGGCCATCTTGGTTGGCAGGCGGAGTCATCGGACACAATTTTTAAAATATATACCGCAATGATGATAGCGGCTAAGTTTGGTTAAATTTGGCCCAGTAGTTTAAGAGGATAAGATTCTTGTAAAACTTAACGACGACGGACGATGGAGGCCAAGTAATGAGGAAAGCTCACTTGGCCCTTTGTGCCAGGTGAACTAAAAATGAATCAGACCGATGCGGTTCTTCACATTATTTACCTCATTCGTCGTTTCCTGTACTTGGTCAAGTAGACTACTCCGATGCTAAAAACTATAACTGGCAACAACGCAAGGAACCATAAAAATTCTGAAAAATATAGAAAGTAATACTTATTTACAGGTAAGGTTTCGATAAGCCCAATATTGTTTTTCTTCTTGAACGGGTGAAAATTATCAAAGAGAAAAATTGCCCTCAATTTATAGATGATGGTCTCATATGAAGATTGTATCTGAATGTCATCACTGGTGTTGTAAAAATGTATGTGTATGGAATATTGTTTTAACTTCAAGAGAGATGCGGATTATACCAAAGGATTATTCAAACTCATAAGTCGAGGGCAAACTGACAACACCTTGGCAGAAAACCGATAAACGACCAAAGAGGAAACAATCTACACACCACAACATAGAAAGCTAAAGATTTAGGCACACGAACCCCACAAAAATCGAGTGTTTAGAAGGTTAAGCAGATCCTGCTGCATATGGGACCCCGCCGTGTTTCCCATGGAAGTACAGATTCGGTGATAAATCTAGTTTCGTGATGTCACATTCAAAGAAAGAGGACGGGATTGTAGTTATGACAATTGCAACATATTTGTCGTCAAACAGATAATCCATACCGGTCAGCCAACTCGTGTTTCATAATGCATACCAATTTCTTTTTACATGTTTAACAAAAATACCAAAAAGGACTACATAATATTACATTCAGATATTAAAATATTTAATTAGTCGTGAATTTAATTTAAAGTTTGCATAGAATTTTCACATCATAAATATTAAAAAGAAATTTAAAGAAATAATAAAATAATGCCAAATATACTTACTATAGGTATTTTCAGTATTATTTGGAACATGACCTCCATGATTGGGTGTTGTTACTAGTATTGATGATTCCGTTGGTTTTGTGACAGAACTTGTGATAGTATGATATGTGGTATTATTTCCTCGATTGTCGAATTTCATATATGAAGACGTCTGCCAATGAATTGTGCTTTTTGAAAACAGTATTGACACTGAGGATAAGTTGAATACTGATGACAGTGTCGGTTTATTATGCGGTGATAAGATGCCAAGGGTCTGTGCCGAATAATATTTTGAAGGCATGTGTTTAGTAATAGTTGGCGATCCAGATATTTCTAAATCAGACGTTAATGAAGAATACAGTTGAGTATAACGAACGGTGGATGTTAAAGCTGATGTAGATGAAACATAAAAGTTTACTTCTCTTGATGGCGATATCTGAACTTCAGATGTTTGCACAGGACACATATTCTTGTTGGCAACACACATTCCAGTTTGACACCTATACCCACCTTCTGGACAATTAAGTGCGGCGTCACCTTAAATAAATTATTAAGTAAATATATCAAAACAATGTAAATTTGTGTTATACGCACCATATTTTAGTAACAGAATGTCAATTATCAAAACTACCTGTCAGATTCGGGAATATATTCGAAAAGGTAAAAACTCTCATTGTTATGCAAATGATACCTCGAGTACATAGAGAACGATATAGGTTATAATTATAAAAAATAGGAAAAAGGCTAATCATACTATTATGCTAGATGTACTTTGCCTCTTCGCGCTCGTGCTATCTACATTTTGTAATTAGCATCGTTTATCCAATGTTTAACCATATTATCAATTGTCAAATAGTATTTTCAAAGAAAAATCAAATTCAGACAAAATCTTACTATAAAAAAAAAACTTTTATTTACTTACAATTGATTTCATCAGACTTGTCTGCACATTCAAAGGACAAATCACACTTATTTATACTTGAAACACATTGTCCATTTGCACATTGAAATTGACCTTCATTGCATGATTCTATTATCTATATAAATAAAACAGAAGAATACGAGTAGGCATGCTGAATTTCAAAGAAAATACATAAACGAAAATAGAAGAAATTTGTTTAGAAAGTAACACTAAACTTACATATTTCTGAAGACCTAGAAAGTTTTATATACCAATATGTATGCATATACAACAACACCATGTCATGTGCATGTAACAGTACAAAGTGGAGGTCACCAGGATCAATAATCCTGCTATTACAGATTGCAATTCTATTATTTACTAGTACAAATTGGGACATCCAAATTTGTACTAGGAGGGTTATGGATTGTACTTAATTTCTAGTAGGATCCAATAAATTACTTAAATAATGATAAGTATGAAGCTGGTTTCTACTGGATTTTTTTAATCATTTATTTGATTTACGCAACATGCTTAAGCACTTCATAAGCAGTAAGACAAAATAAATGATAATATAATGCCACTTTCAATACTTTATTATAAACAACATATGGTAAAATACAAAAACATTCGTAATGTTTTTAATTTATGATAACACTTTTGTTTTTGGTATTTTATAAAGAAACAATTTTGACTTTACAAAATGACAAAGTTAAGTAACAGATTTTGCGTAGATTAACAAGATTGTCTTCTAGATATTAATTCTGAGACATTATTGAAAATATATTTTTTTTTATTTTGATAAATTTGTATCAACAGACACCATTAACATAAACGAAATAATATTTATGTGCTAGACAGACAATCTTTAAAATACTTCCCACACAATTTTGATGTTGGTTAAGAATGTCCTCATAATTACTCACACACAATGTACCAATTTGCAGGTGTTTTCCCATATATAAGTATGTAATATTTGATCAATGTTTGATACTGTTAAATTAAATAAAGGTTGAAGGACTTTTAGAAAAAGGCTCTGCTGCTGAATACATTAGTTTGATTATATAAGTTTATTTCGTTACAAAGAAGAAAAAACAATATTTCTTTTATTCTGTCTTTTATTAATCATCTAATATAATTCAGGATCTTCCTAGTACAATCTGGACTTTTCAATTTCACTATTACTTATTGGAATTCAGATATTTTCTAGGAGGATTCCGGATTCTACAATCACGTCCGTATCAAAACAAGTCAAAACGGCCAAATAAAGTACGGAGTTAACGAGCATTGAAACCCAAAATTCTGAAAGGCTTTGCAAAATACAGCGTGTGCAATCTATTCCTTAATTAGATACTCTTTAGTATTTCGAAAAATTCAAACATTTGTAAACAGTTAATTTATTGATATGACCATGTCAATGATAACTAATGAGAACACGGAAGTGATGACTACTGCGATGGAGATGACCTCCGGGAGAAAACATCAACCAGCAGTACAATCGACCCAATGGTTGTCAATAAACTTATCAAGATACCAAGCTTAACATTTTGTGGGCCAGACGCGCGTTTCGTCTACGAAATATTTGTCAGTGACACCCGAATCAAAAAATTAAAAAGAACAAATAATATACGAAGTTAAAGCGCATTGGGGACCGAATTCTCGAAAGGTTTTACGAAATATAGGTAAGGAAATCTATTCTTGGGGTAGAAATCCTTAGTATTTTGACAAATGCAAACATTTTCAAACAGTAATTTATAATTAAGACCATGCCAAGGATAGTTCATGTCAACACAGAAGTGATGGCTAATGGGCTTGTGATACCATCGGGGAGGAAACATCCACTAGCAGTGGCATCGACCAAGTGGTTGTTAATAAACTCATTATAGATACCAGGCTTAACATATTGCACGTCGAAAGCGCGTTTTATCTATAAACGATTCATCAGTGATGCCCGAATTAAAAGAGCTAAAAAGGCCAAATATATTGTCTGTGTTGAACCGCATACGATTTGAATGTTTGTACATGTTGAATACACCTGGATATTCCATCCTTATTCTGAGTTCAATGTGCATTGCACTCATGTTTTTTTTATTTTTCATGAATGTTTCACTAATTTTTCATGAATGTTTCACTAAAACATGTGCAAATTGAAGCAGCAGATACATGAGCGATTTCAGTTATCTTATCGGTAACAAATAAACAGTCTATTTTAATAAATTGTTATTGGAGCTTTAAATCCTACTACCTTTCTAACGCGTATATTGGTCATTAAGTATGACTTACTGTTGTACAATGTGATATAAGTATTGCCAAAGCAGATACAGAAAATACGTTTTGTGTCTTCATCATTCTAGTAATTTGTGCATTCTTCTTTTATCTAAAAGAAGACTTATATGCATTTGTTTTATAAAGTGTGTGTATTGTCTAGGACTATGACTTATAAACCGTGAGATCTTAGTTGTGCATGCTATAACTAGTTTATGTTGACTAATTGGCGAAACAAACTGACGTTTTGTTAAATAGAGGCATATTGTATTTTTATTTTGAAAAGATATTTAATTGTAACGACATGTACCAGATCCATTTTGTTTAGTTTCCCCTCTCGATTGAAATTAATTGTATTTTTTCGTAAAAAATGAGAAGGTACGATAAGGCAATTTGTTTGTTCTATTAAGTTAGAAATTAAAAGACATATATAGAATAGAATCCACCAAATTTTCTAATGACTTTTATGTAAGTCTGTCAGATATAGATATATGTTTGACTTGTCGTATGAATCTTATATAATTAAAAAATATGGCATCAATGCAAATCTGAAATGTCCATAAAAAATGGTCTCCTATTTGGATCTTTTCAAGGTATAAATATATGAATCAAAGGCTTTTACATTTTTTATGAGCAACACAATGGATCATATCATATCATGCAATATAATTGTGTACATCCAACAAGTGTAGATCTTCTTATATAAAATATGAATTATGTTTTTTTGTTCATATACGTTTATCTTGTTTCTCAATAGACTAAATGCCACTCTAATAATGCGTAAACCAGCTTTTATATGTCTCAATATGATTAAAGAATGATAAATTTTGCTAAGGAATGACTCGATTGTATTGAAAGTGATACAGGATTGTCTGCAAAATTGTACAAATAAAATATGTTAAAAAAAAAAAATAACTTACCTTTATGGAGGTTAAAATTGTATTTCGTCTCAGGTGATCTATAACTACTATCAATGCATCAATATGAAACTAATAATTGTTTAAACAGATTGGGAAACCCCCAAGATAACCACATTATTTCATGTAAATAATTAGGTAGGTTATTAGACAATATCTATTCAACAGTTGTGATTTACCCTCTACGCTCAAATTAAAAAAATAAATAAGAAAAAAAAATACTTGATTACCTGAAAAGCTACATAGAAAAACTATAACTGTTTACATAGGAATTTTTGTGTCGACGATTTCGGTCTCGCTTCGTTTGGAGTTGATGCAATTCCCTCAGCTTCTGTTTTATTTTATCTTGATTTGTCTTCCTAATTGATTTCGGAGATTAAAACAATATTGAACAATTGTTCATCTGGAATATTTTAGGTATAGTTTACATTTCAAAGCCCAAAATAGTTATATGGGCATTGTTTTTCTCTTTTTTCCCCAGAAAATGCCGGTACCAGACGAAAACATGTGACAATTGTTTTTCCAGGCCTTCCATTGGTTGATATAGTCGACCGTTTGGTTTGATAGTTGTTATGGACTTCACCTGATTGAATTTACCTAGGAGTTCTGTATTTTCGTTTAATGCATTCATTTAAAATTTGTTTCTTGTAAATTTCTATTCTATCTTATAAAGTTCGTAGGATAGATGATTGGGAAGCCTAGAAAAACAACTCTTATCGTTAGCTGATCGACTTTATATATAAATATAAATACACGGTGTAAATGTACGTCAGACAGGGTCGACCTGATTTTGAACAGCGAACAATGCTAATTTTTCTAGTCAAGGTCCATTTATTGAATACTATGATTTATTATATTAACTGTACTTTGTGTATAAAATGGTTGCATGTGTTCATATTCTTCTTGGAGAATTAAACTGACCTTAACCACATTTTCTTTCCACGAAAATTGTTAAACTCCGTTAACTTTCAAATGTGTGTCTTAAAGACGATTTAAACCAATTCTCTATAATACATGGTTAAACCGGGTAATGATGTTGTAAACAAGATGAAAAACGGGGTCCTTCCATTTTGACATGACGTATTACTTGCCTTCCTTGCACAGTTATACAAAAATTTTGGCGCAAAGAGAGACTATTATAACCATCTCCATTCAATTGTCGTTCCTTTCGTGCGTTTAGTTCCTTACAATGCGCAGTTTAACGAAATTAAGCAAACTGCGCGATGTGTGGTCACTAACAATCGTTTTGCAATGCGTTTTCACTTATTACTCAATTGATTTACTGTTACTATAGTCGTGAAATATTGTACATTTCACAGGCGAAAATACAATACGTTCTACAATTTGATGCATATAACACATAAGTATTTACCCTTTAATGGTCTTTTGTTGGTGGTCCATTACCGTACTGTTTTTTAGATATTTTCGCGTGGATCTTTTTTGTCGGAGTAGTTTGGACACAGTAAAGTGAGATGAAAAATCAACCTTTTTACTGCTCTATGTACAGTTCATAGTAACCATAGAAACCCTCAATTCATTGCATGTGAATATGGAAGAACTTTTGTTGTTACTTGATATCTCATTTATTCATTCAAATATAAAAAAAAGATGTGGTATGATTGCCAATGAGACAACTCCACAAGAGACCAAATGACACAGAAATTAACAACTATAGGTCTCCGTACGGCCTTCAACAATGAGCAAAGCCCATACCGCACAGTCAGCTATAAAGACCCCGAAATGACAATGTATAACAATTCAAACGGGAAAACTAACGGCCTAATATATGTACAAAAAATGAACGAAAAACAAATATGTAACACATAAACAAACGACAAATGTCTATTAAAAATAAATAAAATTCCATGTTTAGTGTGTTTATTTTACCTGGATTAACGGGATACTGATCTATCATCAGTATGTTACATAGTACAGGTATGCTGTGTTCCTTCTGCTTACTTTATAAAATTTTCTTAAAATCTGCGGACACAAGTTCACTTCCGACTGTGTAATATTGCTGATTGCATATTTTCAGGCACAACCCAGCAAACACTTTTCAATTTCTAAGGTTACTCAACAAATTTATTGAGTTATTTTAATTCACATACTGCCTGTTATTTCGGAATAAATTTCTTTTGTCAATGGAACAATCAAAGATATAGGCATATGCCAATGTTCAATTAATATTATTTTAGTTGTTGATCACGTCATAATTGGTTTGAGCTGTTTGCTATACGTCAATGAAGCAGTACCCAACGACACAAATAACCAAGCTTCTTGCAGAGCTCAACATATTGTTTCGCTTTTGCTTATTTGATTGCTTATATGGATCAACACGGTTTTTAAACCTGAACCGTGAATATATGGTGCATTTATTTGATAATAGGTTGAAATTTACTGTTCATATAATGTTAAACTTTCCCTGTCATAATTGCATTTTTCGATGAACAAATATATTCATATATCTTTATTACAAATATCTAAAACAATATTACATTTCGATGTATGACACATAAATTATTTAGTTTGCTTCATTCAAAGAGCTTTCATGATTATTTTCAAGGCATAATGATAATGATTATAATGATACTAATAAATCAGGTCCACATGAAGAGGAGTGGAAAAAGTCTCAGCTACATACTCATCAACAGACAAGTAATATAATGTAAGTATTAAAAGAGCCTACAAGCAGTTGTTAAATCAATTGATCATCAATCAAAAGTTGAATGTATTTTATTTGTTGTCTTTGAAGGGTTTTCCCGAAATCTGAATAACACTCATTGTAAATTACAAATGAAATAAACAATATCATAATAATATCATTATTAAAAACGTAGCAAGTGGGTTGTACCCCCAACCTCTAGTAGTGGCATGGACACATGTATATCTAAACAAATGACCGACAGTATTATGACTTTGATATCGCTGCAAAACCCAAATTTCCTATATTTGAAGCTTTTAGAAAAAGAAACCGCAATTCTTTCATCTGAACACCTTTAATTATTTTTTTAAACGATTGTAGAGTATGCATTAAGGTGAAAACATATTATCCAGCTTTGTCAACAAAATGTACGACGATCCTTGCTATACGTACGAAAGATTTAGATTGTTAATGTTCATTTACATTTATTAATATCGTGTGGGACGGTCTGGTTTGCTCTACAGTACCACAACATGATGTTGTTAATCTGTTGTGTCTATCGTATTACACGAGGGTCAAATAATGTTTCCAAAGATTGTTCATGCCTTCCTTTGAATCAATTATTCTTGCATACATGATCTGTTCTTCTGAAAGAGTGAAACATTTTTGTTATTTATAAAAAATGTGTTTTCTTTGTAAAAGATGATTATTTAGTTCTATTTGTGTAATCTTAGTTTATGATGATTTTAAAGATAGATACATGTAACTGAAAATTTAAAAAAAATACTTGAAAGTACCAATGCATTAATTTTTCGATTCATTTATAACGTTATTTGTAAATTTTGATCAAAACCTACAATTCAAGGATAAACATACCTTAATGACAGAAGTTGTAACCAATAATTTATCAGTAGTTTATTTGATAATCTTGTACTTCTCGCCTAAAATAATAATAATAAAAAATTTCTTTATGCATAAGCATCAGTACACAAAACAATGAGCTAGAGAATTTGAAATGATTTCAGATCAAATAACACAGAAAGATATGCCGCCAGCGACTAGTAGTTTTAATATAAAATGCACCCAAGAACGTCAAAATGTGGTTAGATGGAATTTCCTAGTCCCGGGTTTGTAAGAAAGTAATAAGATTGGATGAGTAAAATGCATAGTGATTGCTTAGCTGTATGCATATACTTTTGAAATTGCTAGAAAGGTATGGACATGACGTCCCTATCAATAGACCTTATATATTGTCCTTCCTAACTTCTCCATAAAATATTTTCGATAGTCATATTTTGTTCCTTTTTGTGTCCTATCCCTCTTTTATTGAACGTATTAACATTTCAAACTTATTTCAATTTCTAGACGATAATATACAGTTGTTGTTTTTGTCAATACTAAAAAAAAAACACGCGCGAGCGCGGCTTGAAGACTACTTGAAATGTTTATGGTAATACACAGCTTGTGTTCGTGTTTCTCAAACTGTTTTATGCACTGATGCATTATGTTGATTGTTTTTATTAGTTTGTCAGTTCTTCTTCCATAGGAGTTTGAATGTCTAATTAGTAGCTTCTGTATCGGTGTTACTCAGGTGCTCCTAGAACTGAGGAAATTACTCAGAGAAGAAGAAGACAACCTAGAACACTGATGATTAAAACATTTCTCAGTGGTGCTGGTTTGTAGTATTTCTTTTTTTTTTCGAAAGGTGCGAGTCAAGTTCTGTCTCTGTGTGAAACGGGTGCTCCTAAAACGGAGGAAATAACTCAGGGAAGAAGAACACAATCTAGAACTCTCTGATGATTTAAAACATTTCTTCAGTGGTGCGAGTTTGTAGCTTTTTTTTTCTTGTTGTGCGAGTTCTGTCTCTGTGTGAAACGGGTGCTCCGAGAAAGGGGGAATTTACTAAGAGAAGAAGAAAACAATCTAATGATTAAACACATTTCTTTGAGTTTGTTATATTTCTTTTTTTTTTTTTGAGTGGTGCGAGTTTGATAAAGTGATGCAAGTTGTAATAATTAGTGAGAGTGTTTGAGTGGTGCGAATTGGCCGTGGGCCGAATTGTCGGGCAGTACGTCGACTGAGCATGCACGAAAGCGTTCACGGATCGATAACCGTGTCCGAATTGGGATATTTTCTCAAAAATTGGCGTTTTCTGTGGAAAAAAGATTGTTTCAAAGACAAATTTAGGAAGTACAAAACATTACATTTATACGTCATATCACAAATATTTCCGACTTTGTATGGTTTCAGAGGAGTTGCGGCTCAATGAAATCGGTCTCTTCCTTTAGTAGTATAGATGTTCTGGGTCCAAAAATCTGCATACTTACCACATCAATAAAAATCAGTTGGAAAAAATTCTTTCTAAAAAAAGGTAAAGCAGTACAACCTAAAGTTTAAGATATTGAGTTATTGACTTTTCAGTCATAGCAAATGTGAATGTAGTACGTATTGGCATTTAAAAATGGAGACGGTTGGTTTTTTTCCCATCTTCTTGAAGTCACAGATAGAGACATTCAAAACTCTTTCAAAAATCAAAAAGAAACTCATACAGCCATAACCCGAAAGACAACGAAAAGACAAGAAATCCAACAAAACAGCACATAAAAAAGCAAGACTGATCAATAAGAACCCTACCAAAATTTTGGGTGATATCACGTATCTAGAAAGTTACTTGTGGCACCTGTCATTTTGTTTATGATAAGTAAATACTAGGTGAAAGTTTCATTTCGTGATGTTACAATCGCGTAAGAGAGGAAGTATCATGCAGTTATGTCACAAGTAAGGAAAAGAGTGCGGAAATGTGGTTACTACAATGTTTTCAACCCCTTCACGTTTGTATTGGGTTTTCGATTTTCAACTATTTTGCCTCGGGCATCACTGTACAGACAGTAATTGTCGAAATGCGCATCTGGTACAGTACAATTGGTACCGTTTAATTTATTGGAACAAACCATTAGAACTTATGTACAGCCATCTACTAAGGGGTTAGACAAATACCAAGAAGTCTGTTTGTATGGTGGAAGAAGCTGAAATACTCGTTGAAAACCACCAGGTTTGCCAGATGAGAACAGATGAACCGAAGAAATGTCTGTAGATTGATCTCTTCGTCAAATTCGGGCCACCCAAACCATCCGAGGTCCCCAAGAACCAATTCAAGTTCCGACATAGGATCATAAGCACTGTAACCATCGGTATTGACCACTAAGCCACACTTTACGAATTTTGAAAGAAATCAGACCAATTCGTTAAAAAAAAATAGCGATCCCTATTTATATGTTATTTTTTTCATAGAATTGAATGATAGGTCTTGAACACTACTAATGGCGATTTTGAGACAGCACATTAATACTCTAATGTAATACAGCGATTTAAGAGCTTCGTAACAATGGCCTTATCGCCAAAATTGGCCTAAGACTAAACATGTTTTTAAAAAAATCGTACAACCTCAAAGTAACAACGTATATGCCATTTGTTTTATTACATCTCAATTTCATCACATTTATAATACAAAAATCCTAAACCGCACTATAGAATATTAGATGCTGCACTGTTATTTTTTTTAGAAAGAAAGAAGACGTAGGAGGGACGTCATGTAGATATTTATCCTACGACAATAAAAAAACGCACATAGAGATCAGCATAAGTTTACCATAGGTCAAGCACCAAACCTCCCGAATCTATTAAAATATTGATACGGAATGATTTTACAAAATACCGTTATAGCAACGGTACTTATTTTATGACACCGCGTTTCCACAATCACACATACAGTGGCGATCACTTATAACCTCTCATCAAATCTGTCAGAATCTCTCAGGAGAACTGTTCTAGGGCAGTATGTAGAACTGTCATCCTGACACCTTTTAGACAGTTCTAGCTAGAACAGTTCTTACCTAGAACTGATTTGGTCAGTTCTACCTAGAACTGATCCTGACAGTTCTACACTAGAACAGTTTTAGACAGTTCTACCTAGAACTGACCAAATCTTTGGTCAGTTCTACGACTAGAACAGTTCTACGGCTAGAACAGTTCTACGATTAGAACTGATTTGGTCAGTTCTACGGCTAGAATTGATTTAGTCAGTTCTATCCATAAACAGTTTTAAGAACTCTTTGTCTTAAATATAAATAAGTCAAAAGAATATAATATATATTAAAAAAGTCTCATCACAGCTCTGTTTTAACATTCAATGACGTCATTTAGAACTGTTCTACAATCCTGACAGGTTTGGTCAGTTCTACGGCTAGAACAGTTTTAGACAGTTCTGTTAACAGTTCTACGGTTAGAACTGATTAAGTCAGTTCTGCTGACAGTTCTACGGTTATAACTGATTTGGTCAGTTCTGTTGACAGTTCTACGACTAGAACTGATTTGGACAGTTCTACCTAGAACAGTTTTAGACAGTTCTACCCTAGAACTGATCCTGACAGTTCTACTTAGAACAGTTCAAGGGTAGAACTGTTCTAGGTATAACTGTTCTAGGACAGTTTAGAACAGTTCTATGACAGATTATTCTGACAGTTCTAATGAGAGGTTAGAAGTGATCTCCACTGTATGTCCCCTTGGTTTCTTCTTCTATGAAAATCACAAACTTTATACAAACATTGAACCGCTTAAAACAAAAATTATGAATTAAATGATTGGCCATCAGACTCAATTCCTTGAACGACAAAATATTAAGATCTGATAATCGACAAGATATAGTAATAACACGTGCCAGACATATAAATATTTGGCGACTGTGTGTAGACACAAGGATGTGCAATAAAAGTTTATTAAAGCACTAAACTCTTCAATCCAGTGTTAAAGACAACAAAAACAAAAGTTCACGTAAAGCAGAGGTACGTGATTTCATATGAAACTGCTTGAAGTAACTCAAAACAACTTTAAAATGATTATGTCACTAAGCTGCTGAAATCTATATGATTTAGGCAATGGAACATCACCATCAAATATGGAAAATTAATGTGTCCAATTATAAAATAAACAAATGTGTAAGGACAAATGTACACACATCTGCGAAGCATGACCCTTTTAACATAAGGATGTTGATAGAGGAGAAACAACCCCAAATTATATAAGGAAAACATACACATTCATGCAAAATTAGACAATAGAAAAATTAAAAATAAGCTAAATCAATTACTGTTTGACAGTCAAATAATCATGGGTCTGTTATAAGATTTCGAGAACTTTTGATTGGTTTGTTCCTGATATTCGAATATCAGATTGTTCTTGTAGAGAATTGATTAATTGAATCATTACAACGAACATATGACAAGACAGATTGGCTTAAAAATACTTTACCGTTAACTATTTACTGTTAAAACTGAACGTCCTATAGTATACACATTTTAGGGATTAACTTTAAACTAGGAAAATAACAAAACATCATCTAAGTCTAATTTATGGTTGCAGGCGAAGTTTAAAAAATCGATGCAGTCGCTTGCAATCCGTTAACAATTCATGCGATGACCAAGATGGTTCATCGTGACTTGTGTATTGGTGTTATGTTTACGAGTTTGGACATTAGTGAACTGATATTGTCTTAAATTCAGTTATACTTCACCTCCTATATTTTCTGCAATTTTCTACAAATATCTTTCCCCAAACGGCAGTCAGGAAATACATGAGTAAAATGCCTGTGCACCAAATTATAACTTCTGTAAATAAATCATTTAAGCATATAACATACATTTTTGTCACTATCGGGAATATTTGGTCTGCTAATTTTTTTATTACATTCTTAAATGGACAGGACTACAAGGTAAATATACATTTTGATATAGAATCATCATATGTTACGTCGGGCACATTGCTAAGCCAAATTCCAAATACAATAAATATCTAGAAAAAAGAGGCAAAAGATACCAACGGGGCATTCAAACTCATAAGTCGAAAATAAACTGACAACGCCATGGCTAAAAAAGAAAAACAGTACACAAAACATCCAAGTTCCATCCATTTAAAAGTACACAAAACATAGAAGTTTCGTCCATTTAAAAGACAAAACTATCCGTATTTGAATGATGTCTATTTTGTATTTACTAGTACGCAGTGTATAGTGTATACTACGAATAATGATTTAATAATTATATATGCACCTCCGTTTGATTTGTTGCTGTCATGTGAATCACAGCAGACTCACTAACTGCTCGACCAAATTCGTGGTATTGATACATATACAAATATATGACTGCAAAACGTATATTAAAAATAAAAATTAGTTGTTAATAGATACATGTATAAGAAGATGTGGTATGAGTGCTAATGAGACAACTCTCCATCCAAGTCACAATTTGTAAAAATAAACCATTATAGGTAAGGCTTCTTCTGTAACCCACTAGCTCTAGAAAATCGGCTTTGTCAATTTAAATATGAATTGGTGAAGAAATATTTTTATTTTGGTGTTAACACCGCTTTTATTCTGTAATAGAATATCTGTTTCACGATGGATATGTTCCAATTGTCGTAACCACAATCCATCATCATTTTCCCGAATGTGATATACCGAATTAGACATATGACCGGGTTTGCACTTTCATGAGCAGCACGACGGCTGCCACATGTTGGACAGGATTTGCTGACCCTTCTGGAGCTCCTATGAATATCCCCGGTGTGTGGTGAGGTTCGTGTTGCTCAGTCTTTAGTGTTCTATGTTGTGTTTTGTATACTGTTGTTTGTCTTTTAGTCTTTTTGTTTTGACATGGCGTTGTCAGTTTGTTTTCGACTTATGAGTTTCAATGTCCCTTTAGTATCTTTTGCCTCTCTTGTGTGAAAATATCTGGTGTGGTAAGTAATGCAATTCACAATCAGAGTTACATGGGAGATATACATAGATATATGTGTTGGTAAAACTCCTAAGGGTACAAATATCAGTAATTTGTTTACATTACAATTAATCAAAAGATATGTGCATGGCAAGCGTATTAAACTAATGCATGTAAAGGTAGATATGTGTACGTGAGACCATATACAGCATTCTACAGAATATCGATACCAATCGACATCACAATGTGCACTGTGATTTGGTTTTTGTTCATTAGAAAAAAAGCTGTGATTATGTCAATAAGTATCTGGTGGAAAGTTGTCTTATTGGAAATTTTACCGCATCTTCCTATTTCTATATAAATATATTTAATAGGTGCACAGGGTGAAATTTTTCATAATGCAAACTATTTTGTCAACACTACAAGCTGACCTGTCGATTTCCCTTTAAATGCTATGGTAATTGTTGGCAAAGACATTTTCAAAAACGTGTTTTGTTCCCTCTGAAATGGATGTTAATTATACCTACTGTAATAATTTTCATCAGGAAAATATCCCATTATTGTTGGTGTTTCTGTTGATAATGTTACCGGCGTTGGCGTCTTCAGCGTTGAAGGGAACAAAGTTGATTTCGATATAGTGCGTTCGATATTTGACTCCGTTATGTCTCTGGTCATGTATTTTGACGTTGTTTCTGAAATAGTCTCTGTTATTGCTATCTGGTATGAAGGTTGCAGTACTGTACTGGGCGATTTGATTTGTTCTGACTTTAAAACTGCTGTGTGATACGTATACACATTTTGAAAGAATCGATGTGAAGTTTTTGTTTTCACTGATAACAATGTGGTCATGGGGTTCTTTGATCGTTTCACATTCAGAAACGAATAAACCAGATACAGGGCAGAGTAAGACAATTCAGATTGTTTAAAACTTTTGGTTTTATCATCCATACTTGAATGGAAATGTGATCGATCGTATGAAAGTCCCATTATATACGACCTAGATGTTGTCTTCAGTGAAGACTGAAGCTTCGTGCTATAGTTCACAGATTTTTCTCTTTCAAGTTTTAAAATAGATTGACTGTATGAAGTTTTCATTTGAGAACTTGACGAAGGCATGTTGAATTCTGAAGCTGTCGAATTCAAAAACATTATGGTGGAAGGGGTTTCTTTACTAAACGGTTTCACTATCTTTGTGGAATGGATTATTGCTACTCCATTTACAGTTGTGTCGTTAATTTGTATTACAGATGTAGATATAGTTTCTTCTATAATATCTGATGCAGTTGACTTTGCGTATGTTAAGATTATATTATCAATTGTACTGGAAATTTGCGTTTCCTTTGACAGTGTATATGAATGTATTAGGTTGTCGCTTGACGTTGGCTTTATATTTAACAATAACTTGTCTTGACTAGCGTGTTCTGCAGTCGTAAAATATGTTTGAATATTTCTTGATGATAACTGAACTTCGGATTGAGGTGTATAACAGTCACTATATTTGGGAGCGCAGTTTCCTGCCTTGCATTTCACCAACCCCTCCGGACATGGTGCAGTAATTGTGCCTGTTATAAAGAAGATTCATGTTTAAGCCTGGAGTCATTTAAATGCATTAAAACCGAATTGATTTAGCTATATTGATAGAAAAAGGCCAAATAAGCTTTTAGTTTCAGTTTATGCGGCAATAAAAGTAGACGACAGAGAGTTTTGATTTATAGTTGACATACAATTAAGCAATTAAATATTGTAATGCCAAACAAATTATTTTACAACAACCTCATTGTGAAAGGCTCGCTTTTGACACTGTAAATAAAGGCAACTGTAGTATACCGCTTTTCAATATTCATAAATCGATTAAGCGAAAACAAATCCGGGTCACAAACTAAAACCGAGGGAAACACATCAACTATAAGATGAAAACAACGGAACAACAGAAACACTGAACTGCAACAAAAACAAACGCCAACATACATAGACACGGATTACTTGATAACAACTGCCATATTCCTGACTTGGTACATGACATTTTAAGAAAAAAATGGTGGGTTGAACCTGGTTTTATGGCTAGCCAAACCTCCCGCTTATATGGCAATGTTAAAAATACCGTTAAAATGACAACATTACGTGACAGGAATACAGTACAAATAAACGCAAGAACACTCAGGACAGAGAAACACATAAATAAATAATATAATAGTACATTACAACATGTTAACCACAGAATAACAACGGACACCTCCCATGAATCCACAACAGCACACCAGAACACTGTTTGTCTTTGTTTCCTATATGATTTTGAAATTATCAATTTTGTTATGTTTTGGGTTTCCAAAACAATTAGGTTACAACACCCTTCACGAAATTTGTTTTTTAAAACTCACTTCTCGTGTTCATTGGTCTTTTTATTTTTTTCTTGTCGATTTTACATTTTTATTTGGATGAACTGTAATAGAACATAACATATGATTTCTTCGTGTTAAATAAACTTTTTGGAGGTCGCTTTAACATGTTCCTTACTCGGAAATCGACTACTTGTACTAGACAATGACGATGGAATGGTGCATTTATAACAAGATTCTGCTTGATAACCTGTTACTTATTCATTTTTGAATATATTGCATCTTAATGTTGTCTATCCCGTTAACGCTTCATGTTCCAGAGAATACAAAAAATAAATATGATTGGTCCTTAGTTACTGCCTTCTGGAATATTAAATCTCTTAATATTATTTGAGGTTGTTATCGGTTATTTAAAGCAACATACACTGCACCTATGATAATTTTCTGTCCAATAACTTGCGGATCCCCTTGGACCATCTTACATTGTTCAATATCTAACGAAATATCTACACATTGTTTACAAATTAGTATATATTAATAAATATGCTGTGTTATAACATCTGATACATGAACTTACAATTCACTTCATCAGATCTGTCTTCACAATCAAAATCGTTATTGCATATCAATGTTAAGGAAACACATTGTCCACTTGTACACTGAAATTGATCATCATTACAGGATTCTACTGCTAATATATACAAAAGCAACGAAAAGGAGTTGTACCTTTTCATGTGAACTAAAAATAGATAACCTGAAAGAAAATAATGTAATTTGTTACATGTACTAATGATAAAAAATCTTCAAATCATATTTCTATAAACAGTACACTTCAAATGTTGCTCTGCCTTTACATGTTTTCATGTATTAGCTTGACATTAAATTCCTTATTTTTTTCTGTTTCGAATACTTCATACAAAAAGATAAGGTTTCTTACAATTGAGGTGAACTATTGATAACATTATTTTCATACCTTTCAAAATGTTTGCTCTGCATAGTTTTCACCGCCGCACGTAAATATACTTTAGGAATATTCTTGTTCAGTTTTTATGTATGTTTTTAGCATTATGAGTTAACATATTGCGCGTCAGTATATCAGCAGATAGTTCATTTTCTGTATGAAACAATAAAAACTCATCGAAGTTGAAGAGCACTGCAAGCAAAAATTCCAAAAAGTTGTGCAAAATACGACTAAGACCATCTGTGCATGGCAATAGAAAACTTAAGTGTGTCGAGCAATCAAAAATTTTATCAACAGAAAATTTATGAAAAACACCATAGTTATGATATTTCAGTGCTGATTACTGGGCTGGTGATCTCCTCGGGGATAAAACGTCTACCAGCAGTGGATTCGATCCAGTGGGTGTAAAAACTCATCAAAGATACCAGGCTTATATTTTGTTACATCAGACGCGTGTTTTGTCTGCATACGACTCATCGGTAACGATCGAATCAAAAGTTAGGTCAAAATCAAACACTTAGATAAAGAGAATTGCATTGAAAAAGACGTAATATAATGGCATCAGTGCACATAACATGTATTTCTAGTTTAAAATAAATTGATAGACTCTTACCATAAGACAAGGAAGCCAATATTTTACAATGAGGAATAAATTTAACAGAAGGGCTAGACTGGATAGACTAGAGTAGGCAAACACTTTGAAAATTGTACATGTAGTTTGACTGATCATGAGGGAAGTAAAACAATCTTTTCGGCTGATTGAAAATGTTTATTAACTGAACATTTACAAGCACTGTTACATCTGAAATTAGTTATTGAGCACTGGTCACTGAGCAGAGAGTACTGTCGGGAACTGGCTAATACCATCATCTTTATTAAAATTACGTAAACGTATGGTATGATACTAAGTTCATGGAGGATGAAACGTGTTCTAAAATATTTTTCAACAGGCGCACTATATTTATAAAAATATGCGAAACACTCGGAGCATCAAAATCATGCAAGTACCGGAGTAATTGCAATTAGGTGAATGCTACTGAAATTGATATATTAGATTTACTGGATGCATAGTGTAGTAACAGTATTTAAAATATCATTTTGAATATCTGAAAAGAATATCTTAATACTTAATTTAACTCTTAAAAGTATGTAACATGTTTATGCCTTGACATTTCGAATAAATGTAACTATTCTATTTATAGCTAAGTGAATACTTTATAACTATAATGGGATCAAAGAACTGTAAATAAGAGGCGTTAGTAGTTTCCTGGTGATCGAATCTTATTTATCTATTACGAAATACAAATAAAAATAAAAAACAAAATTTGAGGGAAGTACATTTTCCCCAAAGAGAGCGAGACCGGGATGGGCTACAGGGTAAGCATCGCCAGCTATACATAAAATTGAGAATGGAAATGGGGAATGTGTCAAAGAGACAACAACCCGACCAAAGAGCAGAAAACAGCCGAAGGCAACCTAGCCACGGGAATCCACACTCAGTAAAAATTTCGCAATCGGGAATTGGACATAATTTGTAAATATTAAAGATCAAACATTCAAATTCTACGCACGGAATTGATAAAGTGTTGTTTAATTTAAAATGTTTTGGTATCTGATATAAACATATGTTTAAGACCAGGAAAACATGTCGTTATTGGGTTGAGATTCAGATAGCGTATTTGTCAAGTAATACGTGATGGTGACCGTAAAATATACCCTAGTGCGTTTTCAATCGTTCTTCATTATAAATCTGTTGGAGCACCACCACTTAATGAAATCTCTCAAGTGAGCAAATACACGAACGGACAATATTAATTGAGATTGGTAAACGTCATACGAGAAGACTAAGGGTATGTAACTGTTAAGAAATGTACAGTGACAATTGTAAAGGTGAAAACATCACGTTTGATATACGTTCTAGTTTGTATTAGTCCATCTGTGTCCATTTAAAAGAAACGATCAAGAAATTGAAGCAAACTCATTAGTTTTGGTAGTATCCTTTATCTCAAGTTCACTGGGATAATATATGAGATGCAAGCACGCACTGAAATATGAGTATAAAATAGTAAATTATTAGTATCGTTTGACATATAAAAGATGAGAAAAAGAAAATCCTAACTCTTCTTGATACCAAGGTTTCATAGTTATCCTTAAAGCAACTTTTATAGGTTATAGATATTTATTTCATATCGGTTAAGAATTAGCTTCTCTTATTGGATATCAAGTGGCACATGACATTCTTTATTCTTTAGAAAAATAATCCATCGGTCTTTAACAGAACCAGAAAACCGGTCGTTCACGGACTTTAACATGTTAATGACCAGTGGGTCATGGTTTCTCTGTTTAGAGTGATGTCTCTTTAATAAAACGCAATCGCGATTCAGACGTTTGGACCATTGCTAAACTGGAAGGCACGTCTGCTACAGACAACTCAAATGATCGTAGAGCCGAAGCTGATAGAGACAAACTACGCAGCAACAAGAATTATAAGATAATAGAAAACTTTATTTTGTATTCATAAACTGAAAAATTGCACTTAAATGAATGGCAGTGACTTATAATTATCACTATGACTGGTCTTCACTCTTTCCTATAGAAATCGTACAATAACTCGAGTTTGCTTTGAACAATTTGAATTTATGAGAATTATTAAAATATGGTTCCTCAATGAAATAATCATGACAGTTATTGAAGAACTGGTCATTATCGTGATATATGGACTGCCCACATGACAGTGGTATTGACTAAGACAGCGATAATGACTGAGTCTTAGGCGAGGTCATTATCGCTGTCGCAGTCAATGCTACTATCCTGTGGGCAGTCCATATATCACGATAATAACCAGCTCTTCAATAACTATTATATAAATCTATAACTATTTTCATGATTATCAACTACTGTTTTACTAGCAGAGAAAAGGTCCTCAGAATTATGTGAACCTTTCTTCTCTGATGGGGTGTGTTTTAGAGTAAGACAATAAACAAATTCCAAAGATCTATCAGAGTTAATACATTCTTCTCCTGTCGTATATATGAAGTTATAATTACAGTTATCTTATCTATCTTCACGAGTTTTAGTCTTTCAACTCTATCAACTCAGGAAAAACTGACAAAAATAGTTTTTAAACTAAAAAAAAGTATAGATACAAATATATAGTTTTTGATTTGAAAATCATTCTTATTTGTTGAAAAAAGGCTTTATAAAAAATATCGTGTACCTGTTATGTAACGTAAATTTGGTGTGTCATCAAACATAGACAATTGGTATAAATAAAGGAACAAAATGTGGTCTAATTCTCGCAAACTTTCTTGTATCATATTCTAATAAAATATTCATCCAGCTTACACACAAAGAGATGATCAGAGAAAAGACTCGTGGTAATCCCCGTATTTGTATTTAATTCATTCTTATCCTGAATATGAATGCAATAATTTCCTCTAGACTTTAAACAAACATCAATTAATCAATCATCAGGAAGGACCTTCTCAAGACAAAATTAAAGAAGCTAATATTATCCTTTAACTTTACACATTCCACTTTATAGAGGATGTCTTTCCATTGCTTAATGCATGGTAAGATCACTCTGTTGATTGCATCTATGTCATTTAATTTGAAAAAAAAAACATATATTCCTATTCCGACAGTTCTGTTTAAAAGCTTGATTGACACATTGACGATGGACCAATCGTGGCTATATGGACATCAACTCTTTACGACAAAACAAATGATTTATATATTATAAAAATATGGTCCATAGCGTTTTTTCTGGATTTACTTTCAACAGGAACGCTCAAAGCAGAATATTTGAAATCCAAAGATGTAAAAGAACCGAAACAGTTGAAGAGAGCTTTATGAACAAAAAGGACCTTAATGATAATTTCATTTCTAAGTATTAAGCGAACAATAAAAGAAAAAGTTTGGTATAATACAGTACCGACGTACCTACTACTGAGCTGCAATTTTCAGCTTCAAGTGTTTTATGTAGCAACACTGCACCAAGACTTAAATTTGAAATTATATATGTTTCAGTCAATATGATATGACATGGCTTTTATATTTTCATGTCCCTAATAAAATGTTGATTCTTAGAAAGAATCTATATTTCTAAGAATTCTAAATGAACAAAAGTTGGGGGTCATCTGTTCTAACGTTTAACTAACTCCACCATGATTTAGATTATCGTTTTGGGAATATACCTCGCAGGTGACACGGTTATGTGTCTCATGTTGTCGTCATACTACCGTCCAAATGTTCGATCGTATAAAACGTGTCTTTTGTAACAAGACTGGATGCACTGTGTATTATAAACGTTTTAATTTATCAGGAGGCATTTAATCCTTCTACAAATTTGATGTAGCTCAACCTTTTGTTGTCTGTGTAGTGTCCTGTTTACTCTCCTCTGTTTGTTTTGTTTTGTCGTTTTTTCGTTTTTTCTCGGTATATTTTCCATATTTCATTAAAAAACGGATTACATATATAAAATAACACCTACCTAATACGATATCTTTTCCATCTGTATGAAGATATGTTTGTTTAATATTTGATATGATATCGTCTGTTGAAGGATGATTAAAAATTCGTATTTACATCTGACTAAAGAGCGTATGATAAATGATTACATATTTAGATCACTTAAAAGAGAGGAATTCAAATATTAGACTTTTTCATTGTTTTTCGTTGACAACGGCTTCTGAGGAATTCCTTTGTCATTATTACAATCGCAAATGCCTGAAACTATATCACATACAAATCCTTTCATAAAATCATGAAATGAATTTGAAGGCTACATCATTAACAAAGTTAACTACTGGATGTAATGCATATGATGACAAAATGATGGGATTAAATGAAAATATATGAGGTAAAAATGCAAAATGTTGTCACAGGATGTACATAGGTCAGGTTTGGGAATTTTTGTCAGATGTTCGGACTCCTTGGTATTTTTCCTACAAGGGACATAGTTTTGGACAAATTATTTCTATGCGTAATTTGTATATATTTGCTAGAAGGACTAAATATGGAAGGTTGATTCTACTAAAAAGATAGGCGGATGAACACTAAGAATGTGTGAATGAGACAAAAACCAGTTCAAACAGCAGAAAACATCCCAAGCTTCTGAAGTTCATTCAAAAGGGTCACAGCGAGCAAATCCCGCGCCCGAAAGCGGGTTTTAGCTAATCCCTAAACAAAAATGAGTAATAGTTTAGAAAAGATGCCACGCTAAACTAAAATAAATAATAAATAAATAAAATAATTAAATGATCAATCCGAAACACTGTATGACCATGACTTGTAACACATTATTTTCTTTACAAAAAAAGAGTAACGGTTGGACATTCAATAATAATTTAATTGTCCTAATTTAACATTTTATCCACTGTCAATATGATGCAACAGTTTTATAAAATCGTATAAAAAGAGCAACGTTATCAGTCTGTAAATAACATCAAATTACGAGAACAGTTTGAGATAAAAATGTGCAAACAAAATCATTTCATTATCTATTCAAATGTCAAAACAGGAATTGATAATCTTAGAAATATACATATACCACAATATTGTACAGCACATCCTAGATACAATGATGGTTTTTTTTAGCGACCTTGACTGGCAATTAAGCCCTCGCTCGGTCGGTAGATACAAATTAAAACGACTTTTTATATTTAATCACGTTGAAGTTTAGAAAAACATAGCAATATTTCTAAAATGCTTACATATATATGCTATCTTTGTTGATTGTTATGGCAATTTAAAAATTACATGTTGCTGTATTTCACCATTCATTCATTATCATGATTATAATGTTTTGTGAAAATGTATCAATTATACACATGTGTTTATATATATAAAGTATGTCCTCTTGTACACTTATCGGTCTGAGGTTGACACTGCATATTTTGAATGTAAGTGAATGTAAGAGATATTCGCAATCTATAAAAAAAAACAGAACACACGAATAAATGCACTATATATAAAAAGGTCGCATGTACACAATATTTTATCTACCTCTGTTTACAAATGAAATAAAAGATAATATTACAAAAGTATGATAGTTATGGTGGTCAAACAGCCTCATTAGCATTCGTTTTTGCATTGATCATAATGAGGTTCTGTTTACATACCATGAACATGTTTTCAACTTTGAACGATTGCCAGATATGTGTTGTGTTATTTATGTCTGGTCGTAGGTAGCACATGTTAGGAGTTACTTCGCATTCATTAAAAAAATTTCAAATAAAATGTGTCATTGTTCCTTCTGAAGTATTCACGGCTTTATTTAAACATTTCTTTTATTACATCTGCAAATAGATAGAATTTCTCAACAAATAAACATAATATATTAGTAATATGGTGACTACAGTGTAACATGCATTTATCAAGTCATCAACTAGCATATAGAAAGGTCAGCTAAAGATTTGTAAAACTCGATTAGTGGGGAATGTTTTTGTACAATATCGTTCAATGTATTAATCATCAATGAAGCTGTGCATAAGAAGTCATACTCATTTATATATTAGCCACCAGCTATTGCAGATATTCGCATTGTGATGATACAGTAGTTCCTTTACTTTGAGCGGTTGAGGTTCTCAGATCGGTTTCAATAATGACACGACACTTGTTTAGGTATATACAGTAAATGTTTTTGTTTTCATGAAAGTTGTATTATCGTCATAAAAATTTGGCCATACGTTCAGTGGAAGTCCGTTTTCGGTACTTCGAGTTTCATCGGATGGTGTGAAACATATTCCGCGCTATCGTCTTTTGTGTATATTATCATATTTGATTTTCCAATGTCTAGTCGTTTGATAATTTGGAAAAATAGGAAAAATGTTTTTTACAACAACTTTAATCCTTTTTTTCGTGGGTTTATTTTGTTTGTTGAATTGTTTAAAATGGAGTGAAAAGATACCACGATGACACTTCAAGTCTAATAAAAAAAAAACTTGTGGACACAAAGATAAAAAAAAAACGACGGAAAGAAAAAAAATAAATAACAAAACATTGCAAAGAAAAGTAAAGATTGAGCAACAGGAATTACTAGAATTGTAAATTTTTTAGCAAAAATTTACTTTTAGGGTCAGGTAACTGTAATACATTGTTATGTTTCAGCATCAATAAAATATTACCTGTTAAGTATACAAAAAAATTGGTCAACTAATCAGAATCAGCAACAAAAGGAACAGCAAATCTGCAAATAAAAAAAGTACATAAAGGGTCACAGAATCATTGACACTTTTTTACACATTAATTAAACGCAACCATATCCTGTATAAATCTTAGTTTAAACATATTTATTTATAGTGGATTGGGAACCAAGTTATTGCAACTTATATTAATCCCTTCCCACTTTGCAGGTGCGAGTGCTGCCTTGTAGCGGAGTTAGCCTGCTCTTTTTCGAAATCTACAAGGATGTCTGTTACGTGCAAGATATATGACTCTCTCTCTTAACACGGGTCAGCCATTTATCGTCCCCTTCCGACGGACTATCATCGTTTCCTCAAGACCATACTCGCAAATCTTGAGTATATACGAAAAAAATAGATATTGTGTATTGTCTTTCTATCAAAACAAAAGACAACGAGTCGGTCATTCAACTACAATTAAGAGCAAAAGCCATTTAGACAAGTAGTGAATGAAATAAGAGGGACTGTCATGGATCGTCAACGTCAAATTCCCTCAATAAAATCAAAACAACATTAAGTAAAAACCAATACGCAACTGCTGACATGATTATAAATGCCCTGGTGGTAAAAGCAGACGAACATGATATTTTGCACTCAACCATCCCCATTATATATTTTGACCGAATGCTTAGATTTTAAAACACATTGTCTCTTTCACTAAAGATGCAGATCAGTCGAATTAGAAGAAACAGCTAAAAAGTCGATTTATGCTTTTTGAACACCGGTATACTACTATTGTCTTTATGTAATAAACAATAACAAACAGTATCCTGTCGGATATAATTCAAAGGAGGTGAGGAAATAAATAAAACAACTTACAATGGTCATCTAGAGATCATCAATGAATGCTCTTAGATTCGAGAGGAAGTCTAAAGGTACTTAAAATAGCTGTTTTAATAATACCAAGCCATGCTTATCCATAATACGATGGCTGTACTTTTTCTAACAACTAGCTTATGCTGATATTTTGGTGAGATGTATTAATAAGAACAGTATATCTGATAGTCCGAAACCAATTTTTATGCGACAGGTACACATAACCTTAATTCAATTACTGTAAGTCTCCCTGTTAAGCAAGAAACCTACCGCTATGCAAGATCGATTTACTATCATCCTTTCATAATCAACCACAAAACTTAAAATTAGATTGAATTTTGAGGGTTAACAATTGCCCGCGTTCTTTTATTCTATGTGACTTATTTGTTTTCAGATTTGTGTATATGTTGTCTTTTTTACCGTTATTTTGCATTACATTGTTGTTTTCTTTTGATTTCGTATATCACTTTATATGAATTTTACATTAATTGTGGATTTATTGACATTAAAAAGGGAATTGTAAAGGTACCTATCTCAAGTCATGACCTTCGTCGGTGGCTGTCTTATATCATGGTTTATGTTTAACGCACCGATGCCTTTCCATTTTTTGTTCCAATACATACATATATTAGACCGTTGATTTTCCTGTTTAAATGGTTTTATACTAGTTATTTTTCGGTCACTTTATAGCTTGCTGTTCGTTGTGAGCCAAGGCTCCGTACTTTGATCTATTGTGGTTTACCTTTACAAATTATGACTTGGATATAGAGTTGTCTCATTGGCAACTCATACCACATCTTCTTATATTTATATTTGAATGAACTCAATTTCACCAAACTTACATAGAAGATTACTATTGTTGAATAGAAGCAGAATACACTGATGTTGTCGTCGTTTCTATAACTGAACTTGGAGCTATGTACAATGACGATGTAGCTGCAATGCCAACCGAAGTTGATATATACACAGAAGATGACTGTAGCTGAGATGTACGTGTGGGTGATATTTCAATTCGAAATAAAATTGGTGATGGGCATATGTTCAACTCGGAAACACATTGTCCGTTATAACATCTGTGTAAGCCTTCATGACACTCGTACGCATTTGAACCTAAAAAAACATTAAGATCGTGAACAAGGGGGAGTAAAAATACAATGAGATGACACGATCAAAATTTTCATATAAAACTGCAAACAACATTGTAGGAGCTCATTTTCTCACGTACGTTAGTCATGAGGATGCGATATTGAAGAATGAACCTTTAGTAAACCAACTATTTATTAACCTGTAGAATATTTTAAATGTTCTATGATAAAACTAAACACATCTTTATTTCCAAAATGTCGCAGTTAGAAATAACACTGTTGTACAAAATTGGCTAATTAGTGAAAAGTAATATTGAAAAGTTCAATGTTAGATAACGTTATTATAGTCTATGTTAGCTACTCGTTTTGTTCTTGTTTTACGATTCGGATGATGTTTAGTTGCATAATGCCATACGATTCAATCAATGGAAAGTTAATGACGTTGCTTACATGACATGTTTTTTTCGCGATATCAAACTGCGACTTATCGGGAAAAGATGCATTTTAGAGTGAGTTTAATCCTAAGCTTGAAGACGAGTACATGGACCCTTTTTTTAAATTGCTATTTTACTTGATACAGTATGAAGATTATCTATTTCAATTCGTATGTAGAAATCACCGATGCTTTGTTAAAAACTAAATGAATGTACAACTATCAGTTTTGTGTATTAAATTCATGACACGTTTTAAAAAAATTAATCATTTTCATAAGAATTGTTACAAGTATTAATAATATACTTTTGTAGAGAATATATTTCACATATTTTCACAAATCTCCACATGTGTTTATCTTTTGAAACGAAAATAGTTCAGTATGTATGCCAAAGGTAAGTATACCAAATATCGACCCCATTTATCTTTTAATTTAGCACATGCAGTCCACTGACAAGTTATTTAATGCATTTTATGAATGATGAACATGTTAATGTACAACAAAAATTTATCCTGCTTTGTACAAGACCGAGATGCCGAATCGAATTATCAAAGTGCTAATTCAAAAGGTAACCGTCCACAGGAAAACATTTTACACTTCAACTGCTAAGAAACATTATTATGACCCGAGCTGAACATTCTTTGCTCTAACTTCTTAATTTCGCTTGCGTATGCAGTATGGTAGATGCAGCAAATACCAAATTTAAAAGTATTTGATTTTACCCGTCCGGAGTTCGAACACTTGAACTTTCGCACTCGAGGCAAACACACTACCACGAGTTCACTGATGCTGTTTTACGATTCTGAATACTTATCAATCTAGTGAAATACATCTAGTAACAATCCAACAACGTCTGTATATGGAGTATATACAAAATAATAGATACATCGCAGGGTTTTGCAGGGTTTTGCAATGAAAAATAAAATCACAAAAATACTGAACTCCGAGGAAAATTCAAAACGGAAAGTCCATAATCAAATGGCAAAATCAAAAGATAAAACACATCAAACGAATGAATGACAAATTTCATATTCCTAACTTGGTACAGGCATTTTTTTATGTAGAAAATGGTGGATTGAACCTGGTTTTATAGCAAGCTCAACCTCTCACTTGTATGTAAGTCGGATCAAATTCCATTATATTGACAATAAACAATGGATTGTAAATGAAAATGAACCTTCATTAATTTTGTTCCTTCGATATGCTTTACTTGGTTTAAGGAACGCTTAGGAGGAGGAGATGATTTGTATAAGGGACGTGTTAGTTGTTTTTCGATCCTTACATTGTGTAGCTGTAAGTTTTATTTATTTATTTTCTAAATAAAATTTTGTTTTGATAAGAATTTGTTTTAACTTCTTTTGATTCGACCGTCACTGATGAGTCTTTTGTAGATAAATGTGCGTCTGGTGCAAATACACAATTTCAATCCTGGTATCTGTAACGAGTTTACCTAAAGTAGGAATGTTAAAATATCCTGACATGTTAGTAGCGATATTTATTTTCGCGTTTGATGTCTATTGTCTGATTATTGTTCTGTAGAAAATGCAAAATAAATTAGATACAGAAACTTTACTTACAGTTTAGTTCATCAGAGCGATCTCCACAATTGAAATCATTGTCGCACCTATTTTCATTAGGAATACATTGTCCATTATAACATTGAAACTGGTTTGTATCACATGGTTCGACTGCCTGTTTGGGAAAAACACAAAATGACGTAAACGAACAGCTGATTATAATCTGACTTTATAGTTGTTTTTATGTTGCACACTTATAAAATAGACAACATATGTTGATATTACGTCAACGTAACCGAATTCAATTTAATTTTGATTTACCTTTGTCATCAAATATTTCACAGCGCTTAAAAACAAGAACTTTTAAAAGATAGGAACGGACAATTAAAATCAATGCAGGAAAAGTCAATATCTCTAGCACTGTTATGCTGATATAGAAAATAACGAAACACATATGATAAAAAAAACAATTATAAATTGGGTGCCTTTCCTATATAAAATGACAAACAGACAAATGAAAGCAACTATATATTCTTGTTTCAAAATATAACGAAAGGACAACTGTAATCCAAATAATAATGTTTGAACAACAACAACATAGTATTACTCATTTTCCGTTTTGTCTATTCAAAGTCAAAATATGTTACAGATAATTTTTTAACGTTTTAGCTTTTTGTTTGATTTATTTTTTGTGAATTACAGAGTTGTTTAACAATAAAAATACAATGATGAAATATAATTTCAGGGTGCAAAACACCAGTATACACGTGAGATCGTGTGCACGATGAACCCTTCTTTTAGATGGGAATCTGATGAATATTCTAGAAGATATTAATATATTGGTAGGTTGTGCCGCTAACAATTTTTTAGTTGTTTTTGTGTTTTCTGTTGTCTTATTTTTCGTCTGTCATACATGTTTATGTTACTTGTTTATTGCTTAAGTATTAAGCAGACCGTTTTCAAATTGTTTTACATTTTATAAGGCCAGTGCCTTTTACATGTTGCTACACTAGTACTTGAAGGGTTTTGCTTATTATTGCATATCGTAGGGTGAGCTATAATTGATAACATCCACATTCATTGGTCAGTAGTTGTGTAGTTGTTTAGTTGGGAAGCATACATACTCATCTAATTTTCATAAATAAACATGCATATCTGTCAATGAACATAGACTATAGAGCACCAAGAAAAAGACCAAGCTTGTTTTTTTTTATAATCTATGATATACAAGACCAATAACTGGCCCTGATCTCCGGTGCTACAAATATTTGTAATATGACAGATAACTGATACAAATGATTTTGAAAACTATGACCAATTGGATTGAAATGAATTAATTTTATTGATGTAATCATTATAGATAAAAGTGTTCAAATTATTTTATGTACAATGTTTGCTGTAAAATTATAAACTACAGGCAAACATCAAGTAGCAGTGTGACATATGTATAGATTGCGTATACGCTACAACTGAACTTTATCAACCTACTGGTAGAATAAATCGTTTCCATAGAAACCAAGAAAAGATTGAGGAAAAATGTTCAACTTTATCAAAAAAAGTAAAATCACAAAAATACTGAACTCCAAGGCAAAATCAAATGCTCAAACACATCAAACGAAGGGATAACAACTGTCATATTCCTGACTTGGTACAGGCATTTTCTTATGTAGAAAATGGTGGATTAAACCAGGTTTTAAAGCTAGCCAAAGCTGGTTAATAGTCTAATTCGGTAGGTCACATTTGTGAAAAGGGAACGGGATTTTAGTTACGACATAAGGAACATATCCGATATGATCTGTGAAACGGATATTCCATAACGGTCAACCTACTCGTGATGGCGTCCGTAAATTTGCGAAGTGATGATTTCAACTTCACCATTTGGAACTAAAAATGGAAAGGTCACAATTGGGAATCTGAAATCATCTCTTTTGTCGTAAAGTTTTGTTTTCAACCGACCGTCATTGTCAATTTCTAGTTGTAAGTCAAGATATGAGGCAGACTGACTTAACATAAAATCAGAAAACATTGAACTAGACACGAACGAGAAAACATCGTGTATTTCGTGGCAGTCAGTGTTTATTGGTAAAGGGATACGGAATGCCCCGAAAGAACCACCGAATATCGACAGGAAAGCTCAAAATCCTATTTTAATTAATAAATATTGGAATCGATCATTTACTTGTGCATTTCTGAAGGGAAAATCGTCAAACTATAGACAATGAACTTATAAACAAATATATGCCAATAATAAACACGACAGTGATTTGATATAAAAAGTACTGTATTTCGAAACCCAATTTGACAACTGTCTCATTTACTTGATCTTATACTTCATGTTTGTACTTACACATATATAAAAGACGACAACGATTGTTAATGTGATTATGGCAGTCTTCTTCATTACTTTCTGGTATACTAAAATTCCTCATATAAAGTCACCTTTAATTAAAAAAAAATGGTCAAATTATGATACAATCTTCTATATTATCTATACTTATAGACACATTAATGTGATACCGTTAAGTCCGTTAAAATATTCCCATTGCCAACTTTGAAAGTATTTTCAAGAATAAATGCTGAATAAATTTCGTAAAAAAATATTCACAAAACTACCAAACTCCAAGGCAATTAAAAAATATGGGAAGTCCATATTTCCTACTTGGTTCAGGCGTTTTCTTAAGAAAATGATTGGGATAAACCTGGTTTTCAAACATATTTGGTTAACATGACAATAATTTAGATCTAGCAGCCAAAACGGTGTCAACATTGTCACACACATACAACATAACTGACTTAAAAAATCAAGACGCAAAAAATGAAAGACCAAACGGGACTTCATGTTTCCATCTTATTAAATCAAAGTATATTCCGATGCATAAATGCAACAAATTCATATGTTCAGTAGTTGTCGTTTGTTGATGTGGTTCAAAAGTGTTTCTCGTTTTTCGTTTTTTATATAGATTAGACTGTTGGTTTTCCCGTTTGAATTGTTTTACACATGCCATTTTTGGGGCCCTTTATAGCTTGCTATTCGGTGTGAGCCAAGGCTCCGTGTTGAAGATTGTACTTTGACCTATAATGGTTTACTATTACAAATTGTGACTTGGATGAGAAAGTTGTCTCATTGGCACTCATACCTCATCTTCTATCTATAAAACTATCCGAGAGGTCGATTGGTTATGTTAGTTGCAGTCTGTTGTAAGGTGCACTATGAATGAAACATATTTTATGACAGAAATATGTTCGACAAAATTGCATTATTACAATATCTCAATACAGGTACAGTGTAACACGAGTAACAAATGATATTACCTGTGTAGTGATACTAAACTTCCCTCTTTTAATATCTGCGTGTTAAAACGCAAGTCCTATTCACCAATGAATTTCAGTTATACTTCCTCATGTTTATATGTAAGGACAATTATATATATGTGTTTCACATTTGATGAAATGCTTATATTCTTTAGAAGAACCGCATTGGTGCTTGTTTCGAGTGTAGAAGGTCGTGAATTCGATTAGCTAGTTTGTTTCAAGACAAATTACAACCTGAATACTCAAAAGTATGACTGTCCCAAATAAGGGGAAGGTCCTCCCTGTCATTTTCAATATAAGCTAAGCGTATGACATTGTACTGACAGCAGCTTTGATTTGTTGGTAGTAGCACCCACCGTCACATTATTTATTTGTATGCTAACGTATAGCATACTTATCAGCGAGTTAGGCTTGTACTCTCTTTCTTAATGTACATTGCAAAATAAAAAGCAGGAAAGAGTGGTATCTAAAACATGCATTGTCTATTCAAATGAAATATTATCATATAGGAACAAAATGTCTACGTCTTCGAACATAGGTTTCATGTAATTATTTTTTAAACAATGCATTTAAAATACTGAGATGAAACATATTAGGACCGTTAGTAGACATTCGATAGACCACTGAATTCTTCCAGATACAGTTGTAGCTACACCATTACATGCATGACGTATTACGAAAAGATGTATAAACACTTGATTGAAGTAGAGGTATACTTAAAGTAAACATAAACATATATTATAAATAATAAAGGGAAAGTTTGATTATCTTAGTGTGTATAATTCCTAAACTAATTAACGAACAAGACGGGATTTAACGTATATTAAGGTACATGTATATGCGTTCATTCTGATAATTTCCAAAAGTGTTATCAATTAGATTGAAACAACATACTTACAACTTTGGTCGAACTTTCTCAAAGTGACTGTTGTTAAAGATTTCGTTGCAAACCTATACTCGACGGGAACTATATTATAGTACGGAAAAGAAATACGCAATAAAATATCTGGACTTTCCCATGCTTATATAATTTAACTAAAAGATTAAAATTAGTATTTTATCTATTAAATATTTCCTTTAAGGAATATTGATTTTAAAAGAAAATAAAAATGCCAGACTTTGACAGTAAGACTGAACTCGAACTTATACGGCCGTAAAATTTTGTGATAAACCAATTGCAAAGTCCGTCCGTCCGTCCGTCCATCCGTTCGTTAACTCTCATTTCGATAACGTTACCTTGCTTCAACCAATTATCAAGTATTTAAAAGCAACGGAAAAAAGCCTCCATTTTGATATTGACAATTGCTTTCTGTGTTATTCCAGAGTTACGAAATTTTAACTATTTGAATAAAGACAATATTTCACTTCTGGGACACCTACAGCCCTTGGATGGTGTTAACCTCCCCAAAAAAATTGTATGGTGTAATGGTGTATGGCATATGGTGCAATGGTAGAAGGCGTATGGTGCTATGGTGTATGGTGTAAGAGAATGGTGTAATGATGTAACGTGCGATCGGGAATGGCGTGACTGATTGGTGTACGAAATTTAAAACTATGCAAATTATTGACAAGAACTTATTTTTAATTTTATACATTAATTTACAATATTGTGATCAAAATTCGATTTTTTAAATGAATAAATAATTTTGTATATTGTATATAACTTTCTTTGAAATTGAATTGCATTATTGTGTAATGTGTAAGGTGTATGGTGCAGAGGTGTAACGTGTATGGTGTAATGGCACAGGGTGTATGGTGTAATGGTGTATGGTGAATGGTGTAATGGTGTATGGTGTTAGAGGGAAGTTTACACAATCCAAAGACTGCTACTCCGCTGTGCGTGGATTGAATTTGTGAAAATATTGCATTTCAGTTGGTAGCATCATTTCGATTTTTCATTTTTTCCGTAATAATTTAGACAATTTTTATATATCCCTATATATCAATATATACTCTTACTCCAGTAAGCCCAGATTGATTTCCTTAAAACTTAACAACATTTTTAAGATGAATAAAAGGCGCCCCTTTCGATGTTTTTAGTATTCTTGTTTTTTCTTTTTCAGATTAGCCTGACTTTAGTTGTCATATTGAAGTAATTAGAAAAGACAGAAGCTAAATTCAAAATATTTTAAATGAGAAAAACACTTGGTTTAATTTATGGCAAAACTATGAAGAAAAAAAAATCAAACAAATATGACAGCAAGAGAAAAGACAACTATTTAATAACAGACTTCTAAATAGTAGGGGACAGGCATATAAAAAAAATGCAACGGGATAACATATTTTTGAGAGTGCTCAAACAACCTGAAAACCTGTGTTAGTGATGTAACAAAATAACATAAGAGAAAAATGAAAAACTCAGCTGGAAATAATTTTACTCGTTAGATTTTCTGGAAGGACCAAAACAACGTTTAAGAATAAGTTTTTATAAAATTTAAGGGTAAAAAGTAAAATCACAAACATACAGAACTCCGAGGAAAAGTCCCTAATCAAATGATAAAATCAAAATCTCAAACACATCAAACGAAAAGATAACAACTGTCATATTCCTGACTTGGTACAGGCATTTTCTTATGTAGAAAATGGTGGATCGAACCTGGTTTTATAGCTAACTAAACATCTTGCATCAAATTCCATTATAATGAAATCGATGCGTGAACAAAACAAACAGACATAATAAGTAAAAATGTTAAAAATAGGGGCACAGCAGTCAACGTTGTGTTATAATCTTAATCACAATAAAAACAAACAAATATTTAACAAAGAATATTTTATTTATATATGTTGAATCCACCCATAAAGGATTGACATATTTTAAGTACTGGGACCGAATGGTTAGATAAAAATTAACTCTGACGTAGAATCGCACGTTTGAAGTCAGAATGTAAACGTCACACAGCTGGAGATGTAAAATAATTGTGTCGTTTAAAGTATGAAAAGAATATAGTCTATATCTATAGTTGTTAAAGGCATATCCTCTGCAGAATATAAATTAGAGGAAATTGAGATCTCAAAGATCTTTACCGGTTGGTTTTTATAAACTTGGATTAAATGTTCGTTTAAAAATTACGTGCATTAATGTAGTATAAAAATTTGGAAAAATCTGACAGCCAACTGAAATGGTGATTACCATCGAGTTTTGTTTTCAAAATGAGAACAAAATACAGAAGACGACCTAGCATTGAAACTTAAACTTCCGTTTACACACGAGGGGGTGGATGAAAAGAGTCACGAAGACTTAAAAGTTGAGCTGTTACAGTGACATGATTGCTTACTACTTGACTCTCTCTGTGCTGTGCACGACCTTAAATCCAGTTGAATTTATTATTTCATTCTTAAGGACTTCCTTGAAGTATTGTCGTCATACGACTACCACCAGTGTTGGTTATGATATCGGCCGGTACGAACACAAAAAAACTTTGCGAATATTCAAATCTAGTTTTTAATCCTTGAAATGGGCATATAAACTTTTCTTTTATTTATTTCTAAATTATTTTTGAAAAGTTATATGCAACATGTGCAAATGTCAACAACCTTCAGACATTTATCTGAATAGATGTTTTTGACAGATTTCTTCGATTACACCAATTTTCACAATAAAAAGAACATAATAAATACCCTGACGACCTCTGCTTCCAATTCATTTTCGACGGTGAAAGATAGTTTTGTACTTTTTTTTATGGAAATGAGTCCCGACAAATTTATTTTTTCTGTTGAATCTGTGTATATTTGAGAGAGTGACTTAATCTAACGGGCAGTCCGATTCTTCTGACCAAGCAGAAAATTGAGTGACCATCAATGGTTACTTGTTCTCCTCTACACGATAAAGGATAAGTTGAACCTACAGTACAAATTTAACAAAGCTATATATACCAAAAATTTCAACAAAATCTAACAACAATGAATAACGTATTCATTTATACATTTTTGTACTATTCAAAATAATAGGTTCAATATATGTTTTGCAAAGATCACCAGTGGTTCACTTTTCATTTGATACCTTAACTACTAACACATATTCTACATAGTTTTACATTTACAACTGTTTTGTTTAAAATATGTACTAATTTCTATTAAGTTGTTTTTATCGGGTCCCGTTTGGTGGGATTACATCTTACAAGGTCTATCCAAATCATTGTGCAAGGAATTCCGCTCATACCAATGCTAGTGACCGTTTTAAACTTGCAGTGAGATGAAGGGATTTTTGTTTGCTCCTTTTCAAAGGTCTTTCCGTGACTTTGAGATGAAGAACAGCAGTGAGATGAGAGGATTTTTGTTTGCTCCGTATCCGTGTCACAGCAGTACAGGCGCTGTTCTTTTGTTTTGTGTGTGTTTATTTTTCTGTAGATACTAATATTGTACCATGGATGGATACCGCATATTCTTTATTTTTTTCTGTTAAATTGATCATCATGTATAACTCTAATTGAAACGTTACATGTAAATATTTTTCCATTTACTTTTTTTGAAAGTGTTTTTTTCTTATACTGTCTGTTCTAAAATTTCTATAGCTCTGTAGTTATTATAATATTGGAAATATTATGAGTAATTATCAGTGCAATATAAACTGTTGTATACAATACATACTGCTAAACCAATCGGAATAAACAACAAAAGGAACAGCAAGTCTGCAAATAAAACAATATAAAATACAACGAAACACACAATATTTTCTAATTTTCTTGAAATAATTCTAAATCGTGTACTAGTAAATATATAAGGCTATCAGAGTATGTAGAACAAGAAGTAAAGTTGTACAAGTTTGATGGCCACTATGACTAAAGTACATCAAACAAAAGAGCAAAAGACATACCAAGAAAGAACAGAGATTATCAAAGACCATCAACATCATATTCCCTCAAAGAAAAAAACCAAACATCAATATATGCACCTGTTTACGTAATTATAATATGTTTAAACGTGTAGGCAAACTAATGTTTAGTAAATTAAAATTTGGTGCACTGAACCATTCCCATTTAGTTTTTGCTGATCTATGAAAAACCGACCCGACAACTAAACTTCTTATGGATTAGTCAAATATATAACAGAAGAAGCAGTTTATAAATAACAAAAATTACCTTATCATATGATAATAAAAGGAAGCGAGGAAATAAAAAAACAAACGTTGAATGCTTGCAGATTTTACAAGAAGTCTGTACTTTTAATTAATGCGTTATTTACTGGCTAGTTGTGTTTCAACTCTGTATATTTGAGGTGAGATGTAAGCACTACTTCACCCTATATGTACCTTAAATACAATCAAGTCTGATGAGGCATATATCATTTTCAACCAGAAGTTCTTACTTCGTTCAATTCAATGCACGAATATTTCCATGTAGGACAAAGTCACAAGTATTGCACATACTAATTTATAGACTCTGGGCCATGTGATCATATCATATGTAAGAAAAAATTACCAATCTCATCACCTCAAAAATAAAAAAAAAAAAAAGCGAGACGCAAATATGGTTAGAGAACCACATAACTAGTTTTAACACAACTACAGACTACTAAGATTGGCTGGGATGAGGTCTCAATTCGGTGCATGTACTTTCAATGTGTTTCAAATCTTGAACAACGTCTGTGGCTGTCTTATGTATTTAATTATATCTTTATTTCGCACCGATGCTATTTTTCCCCAATGTATGAGAAAGATATTATAAACCTCGATTTAACATAAAATCAATCATCTGTTTGACCAAACGTACATAGAAGATCACTATTTTCCGCATCAGGAGTGTAATCTTCATTTGTAGGAGTTACATATTCCACTGACGTTGTCGTCGTTTCTATAACTGAACTTTTTGACATGTACAACGATGGTGTAGTTGACATATACACAGATGCTTGTAACTGAGATGTACTTAATGAAGAAACTTCAGTTGCAGTGTGAGTTAAAGTTGGTGTTGGACATTGGTTCAAGTTGGTAACACATTGCCCGTTATAACTTCTGCATAAGCCTTCCGGACACTGATTCGGATCTGAACCTAAAATTTACACTAAAAACATCAACAAGTTGCAA